GAAGACTGGTGACCATTAACCACGTCCAGCTACATATCAAACAAAAAATAGAATATTTTTTAACATGTGATCTCAATGACGACTGTAAAACTTCCCCATAATTTTCATCGCCCTGCATGTTTTTAAACCCGTGTTACGAGTTTGTCCCTAAGTTGACGACTTTTACACGAATATCAAGTAATGGGGAATTGCCCTTGAATATCAGAACAACTGCGATATGCAAACAACATGTGTTGGGGTGCAAGGATATTGCTATCCAGAAATGGAAAATTCACAATAGGTAAATTGAAATCATTAATAAGCAAGACGTTTATCATACTACGAGAGTTTCAAAAAACCTGGAACATCTCATTTTCTATTTTCATAACATTCAGTTGCTAACCAACAATGGGTGTTCTTAGCAGGTTTCTTTATTGAATCTACGAATGGAATTGGGAAATTGATGCTCGGGACAGACTGTCAATTATTAAACGATTAATGAGACAGGCTTATGGCTGCTAAGACAAAATTTGAAAGGGCCGGTTTTCAAAACGGCCCCTTCTCTGATTTAAATTTCCTGTTGGTAGTGCATTGCCCATGCCGTTGTGGTCACAAATCTATAAAGTATAAAGATTTAGGTCACTTGGTTTGTTTTTTATGGCTCCTCAAAGTTGTACCTTTCAGAAGCTGTCTAATTGTTGATAAAATGTGCATGTTATGTAAAATATTAATGAAAATCTAATCAAATGATAGTCACCGTAAAGAATACATTCATGGCAAGATTGTGACAAAAAATCATGTTTCCATCGCGCCATTTGGCTGTTTTATGGAAGAAACAATCTCAAAAATGCCATTTTCGATGATAACATTTTAGACACAAAAACTGTGTTTTTTAGAGAATACACCCTTTTATCCCATTGAAAAGTACGTAATATGCTATTGATGAGAGGAAAAATCATCAAAATGTAAGTGGTGGAACATTTTCAAATGTTGGGTTGAATTAGCTTATGGTTGAATTGCCGATTTTCGACTTTCTTTAGATAATTAACAAAAAAACGAGAGTATTTGCTCGGTATGTTGAGAATATGTACACAGATATGAAAAAAAGTGAGAGAAACACTTTTTCATATAAAAAAACCAGGATGGCTACTTCACAAGTCCCCGTGGTTGAAGACATTGGCTGACAAATAGACAGAACAACAAACAAAACGTGTTCCTTATGATTTTGGTTGGTTTTCGCATTTACGGGAGTGTTCATAGCTACGGGCGATCGTATAATACCTATATTTATAAGTTTGGTTAGTCACATGGTAACGGGGATCTTTCATATCGAGCCCCAAACATACTTTCGACATATGCACTCCGTTGCCGCATGGAAAACTATTTCAAGTTTTGTCGGAATTTCTTTATCTATGGTTGTAATGGTCGAGGGTTTTCCGGCGTCCTGTAATACCCAAGGTAGTACAAGATACTGGAGATGTTCGCACACATTCTCATCGTTCTCTCTCCAACTGGGCACTGGCAGTAGTAGTCCTTTATTGGGGCCTCAACATCGGGTGAAACGGTGAACCGTATCCAAACGTTATATTTCGTTTGGCTTTTGTGTCGGAAATGTATTTGACATCGGAGAAGGTCTGGGGAGTGCTGGTAAAGCCACACCTCATAGTCTCCGTCATCACTTAAATGTTCGGCGATGTAACCAGGAGCCAGAGATATCTGATACGTTCCACACGTAATGGTTCTCAAGTAATCAAGATTGAGACGGGGAAACAGTACGGAAGATGCATCCATCTTGACAAACTTGGACCTTGCCCGTCTAGATAGATCCAGATCTATCTTGACTCTCTGAGCTAAACCATTCGGTGTTGTCAAACGGTCCTTCATACGTTCAGCCATTAGCATATCTTTGGCATCTCTCTCTGGAGATCTCTGGTAGATCGGTCCTCTAATACCATTCAGACAGGCTGTGACGGTTCGAAGCAAAGCCTCAATGACATTGATAAAGCTGTTAGACACCAATTGCGTTCGGAAGAAAGTCCAGTGTTTCAGACGACCATGATAGGATTCCACAATCCACCTCGATTTGGTGATAGTTCTGTCAAGATTTGCTTGGACGTCAGAATGTTGACTTTGACCGGGTTTCTGGTATGACGACATGCTAGCATTGAGGCCAGAGGCTTCGAGAACTGGTAGGACATCTCTAAAACCTCGGTCAACGACAACGTTGTCGTCTGGTTGTAGCCAAGTAACTAGCTTGTCCATGACAATTTTTGTAATTGTAGCATCATTTTCGTTGCCAGTGAATGGTCCTACGGTGTCCAGAATGTAGCCATCTGGTAAGGCGATGCTCATGAATTTGACATAGTTTCTCTTCTTCTGGCCACAGTAGGACATTCTCTGGAGCTTGTGGTCGGAGCTTTTCTGGATATAAATATAGGTGCCATCCAATATGGCAGTGGCTTTATCTCCAAAAAATGTTTCTGAAAAGACAGTATTGTGCCCGAGCAATTGTTCTCTTGTCAAGTGATCCGCACCTAGAAATTGTGGGACTATCGATGTGTCTAATGAAAGTTTTGGACACACTTGACTTGAAAAATTCCAAAAAGAGAAGAACACTGACTCCAGGAAATGTCGGTTTTCAGTTTTACCCAGAACAGTAATAGAGCATCGTGTGTAGTCTTGGTATATATACCAGATGAAAGATATCGGGAACAGTGCGAGCGGATTTCGAGGAACTGATCTTTGGACCAACCTTTCCAGGCCATGCATGCCGAGTCATCAAGAGAAGAAAAGCTTATTGTAAACGCAGACTGGTTCTATGAAAGGACGTACGACACCTCTAGGAGGTCATTAATGATTTCGGACGATTTTGCTGGTAACTGAGATTCCAAGGAACCTCTACCATCAAGGACAACCTCTGTAGACGGATCTAAGTCGTTACCAATAAGGTGAATGGAGCAGACGCGGGATGAGGTGGAACACCACAGTTTGTGTGAATAGATCAGGTGATGTCTTGCACGTTTTGGTAAGACTGATAATTTTGTTCCATTTTTTGGAAAGGTAACAAGACAGAGACAGCATTTTTTGTGTTAAGATGATCCATTCAAAAGATCATGAAGGGTCAGCAACGGCAGAATATGGGACGGGGAGTCGTCTTCTTCCTCTATTTCCTGGTTCTGCTCGGGTTCAGGTTCAGGTTCAGGCTGATTTTTGTTCCGAAGATACTTCATGTAGTACTTCTGGCAAATAAATGCTTGTTCCTTCTGTTCTTATTGCCACTACGTTTCTTGAAGTATACTTGACACTCTTCTCCAACACATTTACCCTCCATCTTGAAACAATAACGATTGGTTTATGAAGCGTCGATAAAGTAACAAAATAGCAAGCCACCGATGATTGCTGTAAACAGCTAATACTTAGTAGTTTGGTACAATTATGCGAAAATGTGTAATAAATAACGAACAACTAATTACACAAAATAACAAGACAATATAATAAATCACATTCAATACCTCCAAGAAGCGCAGAATTGATTGATTACTTAGAACAAAATAAAGTATTTCATATGGATAATCTATCTATTCGATGTGGCGTGGTCGGCAGGCACAAAGAAAGTGAGACAAGTCAGGGTCCCAACCCTGACAGAGCCACAACGCTTTGGAGATGGGACAATAAAACAAGGAAATTGAGACAAGAATAACTAGCGTCGAGTGAATGTTTTCGTAAACGTATAGACAAAGACAAGAAGATACGGATAAATGTACAAGGCCACACGATCAGAAAATTCAGAAGAGGACAGCTTGAGATAGAACAGTATTCATGTATCAGGGTGTCCTCAGTGTAAATCTTTATATCGATACTATTTATTTAGTGGTTACACATCATAAAACTGTCATGAAAATATCCGCTCTGATATTCAATATAAAAGTTTGTATATAATAAGCTATATAATAGGGTTTCAGACAAGGTTGTTACTCATTTCCCCTTTTCTTTCAATTTACAACCACATTCAGGCGGCGATATGAGAACGTTCCACCACATGGAATTAGCTGATTTTTGGTACACATATGAAACAAGTAAAGCTCTATCCGATTTTCTGATGGAAATTTGCATCCAAAACTATATAACGGGAGAAAATTGCAAATTTATGGCATTTTTCTTCATAATTGTGTCTCTGCAAGTGCATTTTCATCCGAGAATATTTTTTTTTTATGTTTTATGAATAAACACGATGTTTTGGAAATATTTATCAAAAGAAATTTATACTATGTTGCGAATTACAATTTCGAGATAACCTTTTATTTACGAACTTCTGTCTTTGATGCTGAAATTGACAACTTTATAAAAATACATTTTCACTGAAATTATGAAATCTGGGTGTCGGAATGGTGTAAAATTATTTTTCGGAAAAGAAAAAAACAGTAGATAAGAAATTATACGGGGGCAGGCTCCTATGGAGAATTAACATTACTGGAAACAGGCCCTTTGATAACTCCGGTGCAGAAATTTCTGCAGGCAAAGTAGATGAGAAGCAGGCAAATTTGTACGAGGAGATTTCCTTTTGGAAATCATTATCTCTTTTACTTTTTCACTCTACAATTTGCCACTTATGATTATCATTTTCCCAAATAGGAGCTCACTCGTCTGTATGTGCTTTGTTTGTTGATGTTTGAAATACCAAAATGAAATTGGAACATTTTGTTTTCAATCACCTGTTTTCGTTCATTTTGAAAATGAGAGAAAGCAGTAATAGCGTGTTGATATCTGTCACGCTTTCGGTTTTTATTATTCTTAGTGCAATAAAATTATGTATCTACCTCGTCAACATAATGAATTTCTAATGTAATTTTCTGACAACACACCGCTTTTGCACTTTTAAAGAGAGTTTAAACGACCGCACAATTAGAATCTAACGCCTTCGTTCATTTTTTGTCCAAATAATTTTATAGGTCTCACATCACTATTGATATCGAGCGATTCCTTTCATGTTTGTTTTGTGTCATCAAGGCGGTAAGAAAAACTTGTTATGTTAGAAAATTATTTATTATCGTACTTTGCACCCATTAGATCAACTAAGCGATAAACTACGTAATTAAGTGTAAAATATTAACAACCACTGATAATCGACGAGCTCTGAACAAACTTTGTACACATTTTTTGCATAAAGCAACATAGTAATAATTTCCTACACGATACAAAAATAAGTGCTACACGCATGAACTACGATGTATTTTTATATCAATTCAAAACAAAACATGTCATCAGCTAACGGACACGAAATGCTTCCCTGTACATGCTTACTGTATTGAAATAAACAGCACATGTCATACTAGACCCCAAAGATTTTGATCTAGTATGCCGTGTTACGGATTATGAACAAGTTTTCTTTATGATCATAATCTTTAGTGACAAATGATAATGAATTAAACATCAAATCAATAAGCGAAGTATTTAGCTGATGTTTAATATGGCACGATTTGATATCGTCGTAAAGGAAAATATGCTTTGTGTGCCGAGGTAAAAATAACTAAAACAAGAGGCTCATGGGACTTAACGATCATCTGACTATACAGACCAATATAGGAAAGAAACCAAATAGGCCAATGAAGGCAATCTTAGGTCATAAAAACATTATCTGAAAACTTAAAATCATATTCTTTATACATGCTACTACACAAATGCCATTTCCATTATTTGAACAGATCGGTAGCCCTTCATCTTCTTTAATCAAAGAATCAAAATCAACAGTCTAGACCTTTTTGGTAATTGAGAAGCACTTAAAAGTTGTTTTACACATTTGTTCCCTGTGACCTCGAAAATGGGTCAAGGTCATTCATTTACATAAACTCGGTAGCCCATCATCCCACCACCCAACCGACAGAATATTAGCACCATGTGATTTTTTGTTGATTATTGAGAAGTCGTTTTAAGATTTTTACACATCTGTCCCTTGAGACCTTGAAAGTTGGCAAAGGTCATAAATATTCAATAACTTGGTGGCCCTATATAAAAAAGGCCAAATATCAGCACCCTTGGTATTGTGGTTATTGATAAGAAGTCGTTTGAAGATTTTGGCAAATCTGACATCTGTGACCTTGAAAGTGGGTCAGATTAAATTATATGAACAAACTTGGTACCCCTTAATACCAGTATACTACAGCACAATATCAGCTCCATAGACCTCTGGGTGATTTAGAAGAAGTTGTTAAACATTTCAGAAGTAAGCCAATGTCATTCATATCAACAAACTTAGTAGCCCTTCATCCTATCATGCTTCATGCCCAAAATCAGCATCCTGGGTGTTTTGGTTACTGAGAAGAAATCATCTGAATAGAAAGTTTATGAACGGCGTGGCGTCGGCGCGCTGAAACACGATGTTACAAGTCACCCCGGGCCTTCAGGTTAGATGACCTAAACACCTCGAGTAAGATTGTGATATACACATCCTGGTGTTACTTATTCTTATCAATGAGGAATATGGGTTATTTCGTGAAATGTTTCAGGCAGTTATCTTTGGGATTCTTTTCTGAATAATTCTTCTATTTTTATTCATACTGTGTAGACATTTTAAAATATCTCCATTTCGTTAAACTATGAAAATGATCACAGAGACATAACCTGTCAAAAAATTTGAACATTTTACTAATTTTGCATTGTTTTTTGGAAGATATGGTCTTTAGGTCATCGTATGATATGGATACTTTGGTCATCTTCCTACTCTCAAATATGCCATTTTCACATTTTTTTTAAATAGGGATATTCTCCTGATTATTACAATTCATATAACTATTGATATACAGTACATCTCTTACCACAACATTGCAGCAATAAATGATGCATTATGTAAAAACCTGCAGCAGTGACCCTTGTTTTACATAAGAGAAGTATACAGACTATTAAGTTATTGGAATTTTTATATCTATATGAGTTTTGCTCTCTATAATCGTTACTTTACATACTCTACAAAGCATAATTCTCCACAAGGATTTACATATAAATGCAGAAACATGTTTATCTGTCTTAATTTTAAATTAAATAATCATAATTCTGATAAAAAATTTGGAGTAATAGTGTTATTTTCAACAGTTGGTGGATGATTATTCATCAAAATGGAAAAGATTGAATAATAATATGTAATGTTGAAAGCCTTGACAATGTTTGCAAATATTTTTTCCAATTCAACAAAATTCGGGGACAAATGTAGTAAATACATGGCAGGTATCAATCAAATATATCTCACTCAGTGGTATGACCCAGTAGAAACAAAACAATCTGGATAGCAGATAGATAGATTAATAACCCAATACAGAAAGACAGGTACATACATAACAAGTATTGAATTATGTCCCTTTGATTTTTTTTTTTTTATTTCTCTTCTCATACCAAATGGTACCAACATGATGATATATCTAGCAGGTACATAATAAGTTAAAGTAGCATCTTAAAGCACCAAATATGCCAGTAAAATAAAATCATATTATCACCAAGCCATTCAAGATTAGTCAGATAGGAGAGTCACGACTAATTAACAGACTAAGGTGATCTGTGCTTAAAAAGTGTTGTTACACGTTCATAAATTCACCATGGATCAAAATCCTTTTTTAAATAAATGATGACTGATATTGACTGATCAAAAACTAAAACAGTTATATACGATCTACATGTATTTGGTTTCCTTTTTTTCAGGTTCTTTTTTAGAATGTATAAGGACAGTTGAACAAGTTGAAGGATGGTATCATGTTGAATAACTTTAAATACATGACTACACTAATTGAAAATAAAGACTTGAACTACTTAAGTATTTCCATTTAAATGACACATATGTATGGAAATGAAATAATTTATAATATGCTGTCTATCAACAAACAGTAATTAAACATTAAAAATGTTAGTGTCATTTGTAACAACAAATTTATACTGTTTACCATAATAAACACTATATGCTGACATTTAGTGTCATATGTAACATCAAATTTATGATGTATACCACATTGAAATAAATAGGAAAATAAGTAATTAGTTTGATGAGTAAAATGGGATAATTAGTTTTGAACTAATTCAGTTCATAACACAAGCTAGTGTAAGACTACAGCTGATAAATTCCACAAACTTTCCCCAATCACCTTTCACTGAACAAGGAAGCTGGTAAGCTTGCATCACTTCTCACTGCACACTGAAATATGTATGCTTTGTAGATAAAGAGTTTATGTCATCATGTAAATGCTTGAAACAAAGCACTATTTTCAGTTCAAACAAATCAATATGGAATCCATGAACAGTATATATCAATGATACACTGTTATTGTATGTCAAGTACACAACATCTGCTGCAAAATACAACTTTGTATTCCGAATCAGCATTGAGCATAAAAGCTAGACATAACTAGTGCTTTCAGTAGGGAGTGGCCTGTGAGTCATATGCTGAGTCTAGACACAACCAATGAACTTGAGCTTCAGTAGGGAAGTGACAGGTCAGGCAATATGTAGAGTTTTGTTGTATCATTTGTCTGTTGTCAGGTTTTATTTCAGTCACCATGAAAAGAGCTCAACCTTTAATCACAGCTATGGGTCGGAGTTTTATACACTTCTGACTGATGCCTGCTCTATGACCTGAAAAAATGAAATAAAGAAAAAATGCTCAGTTACATCAATAAAATATTCAATACTAACATTACTGTGGAACACTCTTGCATCATTTCTAAAAAAAGCGACTTAACCTCCAGTAATGCGAGATCTGACAAATTGAAATACTTACATGTATCAACTACATCCGTGACATTTTTGTACGACTCTGGTGCCTGTTGAAAGAAAAATGAAAAGTCTTAATTAATCCAAGACATATTATATTATCACTTCAAGACAAAACATTGTATATAGTTTCCATGTTAACCTTCTGTTAGCATTAGTCAGATATAATCTACACGATCTAATTGTATGAGGCACAATTATGGTATCTGTAATTTTCATGACACCTTTTTTCTAGTGACCACAGAGCACCATATCCAAAATTCTGATGTTGAGTTAGAAATATATACAGCGAATCTTCAAAATTTGAGTCTGTCATACTGGAACAGCATAAGTCCAGAACTCAAAAATTTTATTAAAAAAGTGATCTCTGGGTATTGCAAGAAAATGAAATTACAACAAAGACTTATAAAGAATACTCATATCATCAACAATGCACATTGTAAAGAAATAAATTTTCATCTGAACTTTTCAGCATAACATCATTTTGTTTAAAAAAAATGTCTGAAGATCTATGTTTACAATTCTGACTTTTTAATTGGTGTAAATTTCATATTTGAAAAATGTGAACTATCACCACTAAAGAAATAATGCCATCACAGGGAATGAGACTTGTTAAGGTAATTTCAAAATCTTGTCTTTGTTCGTACTTTTCTATCAAATTATCTCCCTTAACAACAATAACAGATGCAAGTCGCTCTCCACACCATCAATTGGTATAATACTTTGTGACAGATAGTAAAAAGATTAATTTAACTTTTGTTCTCACCTCTTCCATGACAAGTTTTGGGGAAGCCACTCGGATGCTTATCCCCTTTTCCTCAAGTGCATTCAGGACATCTGTGTAATCCAGATTACGTCGAGATTTTGCTCGAGATAAAGCACGACCCTTAATAGAAAATATGAAATCCTATTAAGTATTGATAAAGCAATGGAATGGAACAGAATAGGGGACAATTATGGCAAGTATGGGTCACCCATTAATAAAGCTTTTTAGTGAAGAAACATTTTCCAGTCTAAAGGTCATCATGACATCTGTCATCAAGAAAAACTGCACAGAAAAACCAATACTTGTTCATATAATCTTTTATCAAAAAGGTATAACATGGAAATTTGTAGGAATATATGTTATCATGATAAAAAATCTACGTGTCAGTGCACTCAGTCAAAAAACTGAAACTGGAGATTTCTAAACTATAAACTACTCAAAATTCATTAAAATCATTGGTAAAGACCAGAACAGATTTAAATGCTGAAATAAATCCAAATGAAACTATTGTCAATTGTTGTATGAAAATACTGCTCAGGATATAGAAACTTGATGCAGTGTTGCTGATGGGAAATAAACTTAAATCAAACTATCATTTGTTAAGTATGCATGTTAAGGTTGGTGTTATAAAATCTAAAAAGTCTGATAATAAAATATCTGACCGTTGAAAACAGAGAGAAACATTCAGTTTGAATAATTTCAATACAAAGACTTAGCAAAGTGAAAATGTGAATTTTTCCCTTTATAGATAAATGTACAAAAAGAACATAGATGGCTTTAATCATACATAATGAAGTACAAGGCAATTATTGTAACAAATATAAATCTCAAAAGGGGCAGGGAAACTATAAGAGCAAAGTACATCCAATTCTTTTTCAGACCAACTGCAAATTGGCAAAAAAACTGGTACCAAAAAATAGACTATAATTATGAAACCAAATATCAAATTCTGGTTAATGACTTAGGTCTAAAATACTGCAAAGACTATACTTTTGAAGGACATAGATATTTACGGTCACCTTAAGGAAAAATGATAGGAGATTGATAATGGAATAAAAATAATCTTAATGATGATTTGTAGTCACACCTCAACCTTAACCATAACATTGCATGATGTTGATACTTGATAAAATGTATATAAAAGAAGAGTGTTACTTACTGCACCATGACAAGTGGTTCCAAATGTTTCCCCCATGCCTTGCTCTGTTCCTGTCAATACATAACTACAAGTCCCCATTGTACCTCCAATTAGCACTGGCTGGCCTGTCAGCTAAAACAATAATATCCATTTCAGTCATGGAGTGTTCATCAACATAACACATGATATATTGTAAGACACAATCTTATTGGACATGTTTTCTGCTTTGTGAATGGGATAAATAAGGAATTTTTCCTCCTTGTAGTATTCCACAAGTGAAGATGGCATTTTGTGAGGAAATGAACACTCCCGAAGTTCCTGAACTTCTTTTTGTAAGATTTACCTGGTAATCAACATATATTGAAAGTAATGGGTGTTTATGAGGGAAAAATTCTGTTGATTCCTTCCTGTATACCTGTCCTGTGTTAGACTTACCTGGTAGTCAACAGGTATAAGTGGATGGTGAGGTGGGAAGGCACGTGTTGAACCCTTCCTGTGTACTAGTAATGTTCTTTGTTTACCCTCCACAAAGTGTTCCTCCACCTTTGCAATGTTGTGTGACACATCATAAATCACATGCATGTCAAGATCATCTGGAGAGCTGTTAAACATTTTAGAGAAAGCCTGAAAAATAAACAGTGTGAAAAGTCTAGATCACAAAAATTTACAAGTCAGCAGCATACATAATAATTTCTAACAGATCTCTACAGAAGCTCAAATAAAGAATGAAGAAGTTCCCCATTTCATTTCTGCCAATTACACATATGCATCCTTTATTTTTGGATAAAGAATACAATATATTACCAAAATAAATAAATACTTCTTATATGTTTTGTGCTCAACTTTTGTCCAGGATATTCTTTTTGTATTCAGGCCATATCTTCTGTTTAGAATATGCTATCTGTTAATGATTTGTTATGTAGTGTATCTAAGGAAAATCAAAACTAAAACCTCTACAAACAGTTTATATACACTTAGAGCTGACGAAGATAACAATGGCTAAGCTATACTTACATCATGGATAGTTCGTATTAGTACAATAAGAAAAGTCATCTTCAATTTTCTTAAGGAATTATGACAAAATCAAATGTTTGTGATTAAGTGTCTGATTTGTTCCTGACATTATTCACATCTTACCTGTCGTGAGAGGAATGTCATACTGGAACGATTGACCCATGCATAGTTAGCAGCCCCTGCCATGCCTTTGAGATAATCTTGTCCTTCTACAGAGTTTATCCTAGCACAGGCTAACTGCCGATCATTCACGTCGATCTTGTCTCGTTTCATTGCTTTCTCCATGGCAACAAGTGCGTCTATTGAATACACAATAAAAAGTTAAATGTTGATTGAAATGTAAAATGTTTTAAACTTATTTCTCATTTAACTGATATATATGAATTTGAAGCAAAAGTGACATCTGTACCCTTGTTTACCAATTTTTTTAATGGATGCCAGATTTATCTAAAGATATACTGAATACTCATGATACATTTGCTTTATCACTGGTCTTATTTTGAATTATACATCACAATTAATATGTTGAAACTTGAATTGTATGCAAGATCTTTATGACTAAAAATTACCTAAGCAAATTAATGAAAGTCAAACGTAACAGTGACCGACTTTTCACAACAAATTAAAGATATAATGAGCAATGTACCGGGTATATTAATGTCTGGTGTGGGTTAAATTTGAAGACAATCAGATAAAGAAGGTAGTTTTCAGAGTGAAAGCAGCAACATTCTTCACTACAAACATTCCAAAATGGCAGTTTTTTGACCCCAAAGAAAATATGATGTTTGTGAACACAAGTCTTTGATAATCTGATATACTGAAAGAAAATATTATATTTGCTTAGACAAGTCTGTGATAATCTGACATACAGAAAGAAAATATGATATTAGTGAACACAAGTCTTATAACCTGCCATACCTGTGGCTACCTGATGCCCAAGTCCTCGACTTCCACAATGGATCATCATACAGACTTGACCTTTGCATTCGATGCCCATTTTCCTGGCTGCGACTTCATTGTAAATTTCATCTACCACTTGTATTTCAGCATAATGATTCCCAGCTCCAAGAGTTCCAAGCTACAAACATAGCAAAGTTTTGTTTCATTAGTTCTTTCCTAAATTTTCCTAAACAAGAATGGCTTACTAAATTTTCTGACTCTCCTCATCCACAATTTTTGTTTTCAATGAAAAAAGTTCTTTAAAAAAGTAACGACAGCCAAAACGTTTATTACTAATCAAATATCTGCTTTCTACTAATTATGAGAAATTTTCTTGGTAGTAGTAACCATAGATATTCTCCTGAACTTATATCACTTACATTCAGGGAGAATTGCAGACATGATATTTTTATTATGAAGAAACCTGGCAAAATAAAATTTAATTACCTGAGGCAGACCTCTTTTCTTGGCTCGAGCACTGACTTTGTTGGGGTCTGCTTGTAACATACGTCCATACTCCTCACAGTGTTCTTTGTCTTCAGCCCAAGCATAGCCTGCAGAATCAATTACATTTATTATGCTGTGGTTTTTAAGATTATCTTCATTAGTGTATTACACAAAGTATCAATAATTTCCATTGTTACGTCAAAGATAAATTGAAACAACAGAATGAAATTAAATCACACAGTAGTTATATTGCACAGACAACTTTTGGAGCAAAGCTACATGTATAATATGTCTTGCATAAAAGCATTATCACAGGGTTTGGCCAAATGTTGATGATAAGTCAGGTCAACTTCATCAAATGGAAGTAAAGAGGACAATGATAGACCATATGTAAGACTTTACTGTGGTCATACCTAATTTAATTGTTTTGTACCTGTATTATCGATCCACCTTAATTTTTTTTTTGCATTCTTCAAATAAATTGTTTCATGAATTAACATAATTGACATAAAATGCATTTAGAAACATTCTCCAATAATCGGTGAATTTACTTTGAACTCCTGATCAATTTTTACTTACCTTCTCTTAATGACCAGTCCATTCCCATTTCTAAGGCTTCCTCTAAGTTCCTAATTAAAAGTAAATAACAAGAATTAAAGGGATATGACTTTTAAGTTACATGTATTTATTACTTATTCCTTTTGATGATACACAATATTCCCTGACATCCTAAAACTGAAACAGAAAAATAAAATCCAGTCAACTCCGCATCCACAAGGTGAAAAGTGGAGAAATAACAAGTATCGTACACATGAGGAAACCAAACTATATAGTCTAGTTATACTACTGCCATCTTTAAATTGTCCATAAAAAAAAAGAAAAGAAAAAAAAACGAAAACAATTAAATTAATCAAATGCTTGATCAAAAACACTTCAAGCTTCTTATTCTTTTTCAACTGAAATATCACCCGTTACCAATACATGACCCTGAACTAATGCATCTGTATTAAGTGGATATAACACTTCTGCCTAAATTACCATGTTTAAGTATATTCTTACTGTGCTGTCATTGGAATGATGCCTTTAGAGCCAACACCCACTGGTATGTGGTCAAAGATACACTGAGCAAGCTGTTCTTTGACAGGTTGGACATCTTTCTCCATCAGATTTGTTCTTAGAAGTCGAACCCCACAATTGATGTCAAAACCCACACCTCCAGGGGAGACAACTGCTTCAGGATTTCCCATATCAAATGCTGCCATATTACCTTTAATAAAAAAGTTTTATGGGTCAACAGGGGATAATTTTAATGATTTTACCAGTGCAAAATACATCCAATGATTATAAGTAAACCCTTTTAAATAATATTTACATAATTCATTGCTAAAATGTATTGCAAACTATCTCATATGGTGCATAGTATGGTACAATCTTATATTATACAGCAAAACATTAACATTTTCAGTGTTAAAAAAGTTAAAAGATGACAAAATATCAAAATTGCTTTCTGGTCAAGTAACAGGGGAATCAATATCACATGAACTGGATATTGGGGATACACAATAATAACAATAATAGTAAGAGAGGTCTTTAATGATATGGTTGAAGCAAGATATTACCACTGAGATTGAGGAGCTTTCTGGTTTGATTATTAGCTATCTTCCTAAAATTTTAAGCACACTTACAGCACGCCCTGCTACATATTAAGTATCATTCATGATGTTTGATTCTGAAATCTTTTATCATAATACAAAACCTAAGATACATTTAGCTTTGCCTTGTGGAATAAAAAAACCTATATTAATATCTAAAGTGACAGTTTATATTAAAGTTTAATGTTGACATACATATGTTTATGACACTTCCAGAGATAGTTTGCCCACATCATCACAATGGCATGATCCTCTTACCTATGGCAAATCCATATCCGGAGTGTACATCAGGAAGACCAATAGATTTCTAAGGAATAAGAAAAAAAATGTTTTTCCTAGTACATGTATTGAACACAGATATACAAGATATTTTCATTAAAGCAAAGTTTGGAAATTAAATACAATTTTTTCGAACTTGATATTGTAAGAAGGTAAACAATATAAATACAGTGCTCTAAGAACTGGTGTTATTGTTTTGAAGAATTGGATCACAGAGTCATAAATTCCTCAATGCTTCTTCATTTTTTAACTTTATTTTTATTTTAAATTGTGTATCCCTTTTTATGTTTTTCGTATCCAATACCATTACTCATGTTACCAAAAGTTCGGATTTTGTAATTGGTGATAAAGATTTAGGTGTAAATAAAATGTATCTTGGTACCCCAATAATTCCAGGCAGAGCTGCAACATTGCCAATTTGTTTCATCCCAGGAAGAAATCCTCCATAACCTTGTGAACGGCAGGACTGCTTCAATTCATCAAACATAAGTTTTTCTAAGGAATCATTTGCATAAAAGATTCCTTCAACCTGTTATTAAAAGAAAATAACGCCCTTCTAAAAGTGATTTAAAAGTGGTTAATATAACTAGATTAACTATCAACAAACAATACAAATGTTTATCTAAATGCATGTCTATTACAAACATCTTTGTAAAACTACCTAAATTTGAAAAAAGTATTTATGAGAAGCCATGAAATTTTTAAAAGAATATTTCTGGATAGAGATGTTAATCATATTGATAAGGTAACACAAGTTGAATTATTCTAAATTAAGATGGTACTTTTCAGTGTATAAATACATTGCAGTGAATCTACTTTCCAAAATCTATGGATGCCAAATCCCCATTCCTAAAGCATAATACTACCTATATCTGAACTATCTTACGTTCATGTTGGGAACAAAGCCTTTCTTTATGCGCCATGCATTACCACCTATCTTCTCCAAATACCCAAGCTCTTCTTGATATGTCCGTACAACCATGCTGTGAACAAAATTTAGATTATGTGTTTAGTAAAAAACGAACTACCAATAGTCCAAACACTTGTACAAGGTTCCAACACCATACATGGGTAGAATGACACAGTGTAAGCACACTTGTCTTTCACCAATTCCAGTTTCGATTGGTGGAAAGTTTGTATACACAATCTTTTCAATAAAATAAATAACGTTCTGCCTGGTGATAGTTCTGGCCCTTTCTAGTCTTGCTTCACTTACAATTTGATGGTTTGAACATATCATGACACCACATGTATAGCCATTGGTAAAAGATATTGGCATTGCAATAATTGCAAGTGTTGCCAACCCATATATTTGATATGTGTTTTTGTTGATCAGCATAAAAACTCATCATCTATAACAAGAATCAATTAATATTTCCACTCTATATGTGTTAAAGTAACATTATTCAATTACTCATGATTAAGATGTGAAACGTCAACACTTATAGTAACCGTTTCTAGCTTCGGTTCACTCGTTCGATTTGGTTCCAATTTGTCATTCGAGATAAATACGTTATGTTTGTTATAATCCTCCTGATCAGGGTAGGTATAGTAAACAAAGCATAACCATGACAGGCGTACACGCCATGGTACAAAGCTTACAACTTTTACCACAGGTGTTGATTTCACGGTCCGCTGGTCGAAAGTCGGATCTTGATCATTTGGGACACAAAATAAGTCCGGTATTCGGAATTTAAAAGGGTCAGTATTGGGAAGGTTTTTATCACTATAATAGGGAAAACGTCATTCCATAAATCTCCATTTCATTCGGTTTCAAGAGATCATTTGTTTTTGAGAAAGATGGGCTTGGGGATGTTGCACTGTATATTATTCCAGCTGACCGGCATTATCTGTGTTCTCCCTAGGCCTGCTCTCCTCACCTGTCACGTGGCGTAGGTACATTATTTTAGCTAACAATTGAAATGACAACATTACAAAACTTTCCCCAACAGTCAATTAAACTTTCTGCGTTTGTTTACCTGTATTACTATATCAAAGTTTTCTGGACAGAGTATTTTTCACTGTGTAAGCACTATTCTTCGTCGTGCAATTCTCTACCGGATACAGGATTAGGATGAATAAGTAGAAGAAGGAAACCGAATGACGGATTCCGGAACATACTTCAATAGAAGAGAATGTAAAATTTGTGTCTGTTTCTTATATGGACAAACCGGTTATTGAGCACTTTAAATCAATATAGCAGGCATAATTTGGGATTGGTCTGCTAATTTTCCAGGAATGTATAATATGCTCCGCCCAGAAAGACTACAAAAACAATGGCTTGTCACTTTCAACCCAAGCAAAACAGATTTTTATCAATAAATTAAGTCAACTCGATTGGTTAACTGGAATTTAAAATTGTTGGTATATTTTTAAATGTCGGTGATTGTCATAGGCACTTTGGTGTCATATTCAATACTAAAGGCAAATAGGATGACCACGTCGAAAACCATTTACTGGCTTTTCAGTTATCAAAAAGATCAACGCTTTCAGTAATTTGAAATATATGCTCAAACGTGTTACATTGTTGAAATGTATAGGACTTTCATTTTACCAGTGTCATAATATGCTAATGAATTATGGGACGGGTGTAATGCAGATAACTCTAGCTTACTTGGAAAAAACTAGCGTCAGTCTGCGCGTATCATTACACGTTTACCCACTTATGCTAATGACAATTCTTTAGGTAAAAACAAGTCTTCAATCACAGTCAATATGAAGGAAAAAAGGAATTACAATTATTGTATAAGATGAAAAGTGGTTCAGCTCCTATTTTTTGAGTTCTTTGTTACCTCCAACAGTTGGTCAAGCGGATCCATATCCGATAAGAAACAGACATGATTTTGTAATTTCGAATTAAAGATGATCTCAAAATAATTCTTCTTTTCTTCCTTCAATACAAAATGCCTTTTTTTTCTTAATCTTGAAAACGTAGCCTTGTTTTTGAATCTAGACTTACTTCTTTCTGGAAATGAAAATCTGCCTGTAGACACTTATGTAATGGTATTTAGACATGTGTACAATGTCATTAAATCTAGCAATAGATTTAAGATTACAATAAGTCTTATTTGTTTTCTAAGCTCGAAAATCAATGAAACTTTCCTGTGTGTATTTAATCATAATCTTAGATTCATGACCTCTTTGTTTGCCAAATGCTGTAAATGTAATTTGTTTTGGGAGAGGTCTTGAGCAATCTTGTAATAACTTGTGCCCAATTCTGTTGCTGATTATGACAATAAAGTATGTTTGAATCAATACAAAAGCTAAAACTCTCAGCTCTATGTTACAAAAGGCTGCGAGGGGATAGAATTGAACTTTGTAGAACAACACATGGGTTCTACAATAAAGAATCCTGCAGTTTCGTAAATTTATGGAGAGGTGAAGCATCATAATTTCATTGAACACTAGCTTCTCTTTGAACCATTTTTGATACTTATATAACAGCAATATGTACGCGATATTTTAAACATCATCCACGACGTCCCAAATGCCTGTCTGAACCAGTGGTTTTAGACCTAAACTGTTTGGGGGTTTTGTTATATGTTGTCCAATGTCCTATCACCACACAGGAACATGTATATGTTCACCCCACCCTGTCACATATATATACTGATAATTGGGCAAACCAGTTGCTCGTTACACTAATACTATGCTGAGCTTTCCGCAAGGTGTATGGTAATGCCATTTTAACTACTTAGATACATAGAAAATATTTAATAGTGTCTTCAATAATAACAAATGTATTTCATCAGTTTGTCTAATATTTAATTATCTTTCACGAGTATGCATTACGACTGGTTCATAACCTTTTCTCTAACAGCATAGCCAAACAGCTGGCACGTTTAGAACATATAAAAAACGAGCAAGCTGACTAGGCTTTTCGCGGACAATACTCTCTCATTATGAAAAATAAATCAATATAAATATATTTCCATATTTACAAAGCAAATGTATTCACGCAGAAAACGCTACTTATTCATGTCACGTAGAGACAAAATTTGTTGTAAAACGAGATTTTAACCTGTTATTACTTACTTGAAAACATGGCAACATTCTACAGTTGTCGCTGTTGAAGACAGGAATTCCCATTGAATGTCTGACGTGTTAGCTCCATATTCAAGTTGGGGATTGGATTTTATCTCTAATAAGGTAATTTGCGTTGCATTGTTTGCTGACTTTCATGGAAATAAACGTTTACCATGGAAATGAATGTCGTGTCACAAGTAAACAACCCCATCATATGTCTGGTTTTGTATGCTTTGTACTTTAATAATTTTGTCAATGTTATAAGACGATTTTTGTTCTGTCATTTTTATTGGCGTAAGTCAATATTTTAATATTTCAGTACAACTGTATTTCAATGGCATAAATTAAAAAAACAACAACATAGATATCGGCCAGAAGACAGAATCAAGAAACGTTCCCAGCAGCGGCAAACGCTCCAATAAAGGTCAAAAGTTAGACAGTGTCAAGGGAGACATTAGGTGAAAATTTGTTTAGAAAGAAGAGGGAACAGCTGGTGCATTTTTGGCACATGTTGTGGAGCTGACTGGCGGAACTCAAAATTGGCAGAATCGCATGTAGCTATCTCAGGCATGGGAACGGGAGTGGCGCGTGTGTGTCGATGCTTAATGTTTACTGTCATATTGCAAAGCATATGAATCGTAACTGATTAATAAACTTTACCTTGAGATATATCGGTCAGCACCATTATAGTATCGCTTTTATCGGTAAGGGAAATCTGCCATATGGAAATAAAGTTCATTGAAAATGGAAATCCTTACTGACCTTCAGATAGTAATGAATGACCTATTTCAAAACATTTGCTGTTTATGACAAGTTTCAAACCTCGATGTGGAAAGTCAAATCAGACAGACCTTATCTTTAGGAGACAAGGACCTTATTCGACTGGTACTGTGTTGACCTTGCACACATTGTAGGTTCCAGTAGAAGAATATCGAACCACCAGTTAGTAAGAAGCTAAAGTGGAATATGAAACTGTCCGTGCGTGTACGGGGGGATTGGTTCGCAGTGCCATGTAAAGGAACTGAGAAGGTCAGTTGGCTCGGTGAGGAATCTTTGCGTCGATACTACAAGGCTAAATGTAATTCTGGCCATGCTGATGAAACTGTGTTCGAAGTTCGCAAAGCCAAGGGTGGCGCCATTCTGGATTCTGATGACTCGATCAGAGATGTCCTGGACGACAGCGACTTTGTTACAGTTGGTCAGTTCTTTGTTCATCGACTAATTACTCTGTACACCAAAGACTACTATCCCAGTTTTTCTTAATATAGATCGATAGAAAATATTTCTGATATAGTTACGTCAATATCGCTTTTAATTGCCAAATCCTTGATGTCCCCCATTTCTTCATGTTTTTGAAATATATTTGAACATTATAATGTATACCTTAAAAATACGTCAATTTAGTCAGTTTTATGTCAAATTACTAAATATTGTATTAGATACAAGAAGTGTTCCAGAACAATGGAAAATGGGAGCAATCAAACCTATCTAAGAAAACAAAGGTGACCTTCAATACCCTGTTTAATTTTAAAGCCTTGTACATTCTTAGAAAAAGTTGAACTTATTACCAAGTGATCTATGAATGTTGTTTACCTGTTTCACAAGTTACAACAACTTTATTTACTCCCTGCACTGTGATCGATAGCATTATCTGTATAACTTATAATATACAAATACTACAACATAGAAACAAATTAATTCCAGATTATTATTGCAAATGTCAAAGTTTCATTAAAATGAAGGGAATATTTTATTTACTTGCGTATCAGAGCGAAATCAATTAATCTAAATATGAGAAATAGGTGCATGGACGTTTACAATTTTAGTTAAAGTATCTATATCCGTAAACCATAGATGTCAGCTTACATGAAGTTTGTTTGCAATATCAAAATATTTATTAAGTGATATGTTTCATTTTAGTTTTCATTTAATTCATAAATATCCAAATGGGCGACATTGAAACTTTGAAAATGATATCCTATGATTAATTAACTGATCGAGAACGATTTTATGTTATGTAAAGGTACATCACTTGAATCACCAAGACGATTTATTCATAATCATTTATATCATCTATGTATGTCTCCAATTAACTATCATCTATAGCACCGACTATTTACAGAACGAACATGTTATATAATTGTTTAATTTCCTGGGCTTCATTATAATTGACGCGAAAATAGCGAAATAAACACCCCTAACCCCCACTGAATATTACCAACTACATGTATGCAGTACTAATTTGAGGCATATATTTCTACAGTCCTTGATAGCGACATGTCGAGCCCAGCTACAGGTCCTGCAGAACCGGTCTATGTGGAGGAGAAAATGTATCCTTTGCCAGTTTTACCAACAATGATTCAAAACGCACCATTTTTTAAAACTATTTTTTGACTACTCATGTCATATTCAAGGGTTTATTTTTTCACTTTTGTCGAGGATTGAGAAAATCAAAGAAAAGGATTCATCGAAAATAAAATTGATAGAGAACAATATATATACTGTTTTTTCTTTAAACTTTTTATAGAACAGCGAAATTTTAATTCTCGAAAAAGTGGCATTTACATTATTAAAATAATATCTAATTCTTGCACAATATGACGTATGCGCAACTAACACGACATTGAGTGAAATAAACTCTGCCACAGAAACCCATTAGATAACTACATAATTTACTATCAAAGTCATTTCGAAGTTCACAGGAAAAAGCCATTGTTGATTGATGGAGAGATTCTCCATTCTGGTCAATATTTCCTTGACAAAAAAAACAGACCAAAAGAAAGTGTCCAAGCTGCAAAGGAGGTATGCATACTTAATATCTGTTTACTTGTTAGCTCATAATATTCGTATCAAAATATCGTTAACGACAAACGTATACGATTTTTAAGGACTAGACAGTTCTTTGTGTTGTAGTTTTTAAACACACCTACCTGTTGAATAATTCAACTTTTGAAATATAATCCTACGATGAAAACACATTTCAAAGAAATGTAACATGTTGTTTACAAGAAGAGGTTAAGTCAACTGCATCAATGCAGAATTTACCGATTCACAAAATTTGCAATCATGGATGATGGAAATTAGTTGTCCTGAGTTACATTTTTATCTACAGGTGATGTCTCTGGATGGTAACAGCCTCTCTACCGATGATTTGGTTCGACTAGGGAAGGGATACTACAGAATAAAGGTAGGTTTATCTGTATAGGTCCTAAAATGAGCAATATCAATTGGTACGAATAACTATTGATGTTCATTAATTTCTCGTTCAAGTTTAAATGCAAATAGAGATATTAACTTTATATCTATTTTGAAGAAATTTTACAAGAGATGTAAACATTTTATTCCATAATATATACCATCATAACCTAGCGTACAACATCAACAGTAGTTGTCCTTAACTCAATTTGATGTGAAATGATCTGTAAGGAAGATTACGGACATATCGAAAATTAAAAAAAAAAAAATCTGGTTCTGAAGTACACGAAATTTCTATTTCAACACTTGATCATGAAGGTCTACTCAATATAAGTCATTCAACATCGTCACAAAGTACGCAGTGGTATCAACGATGCATAATTATAGACCGTGAAATAGATGTTATTTGTAACCATATCTATTTGACAGTTGACAGTTGAATCAGAACATAAAGTAAACAAAGCCAGACAGCTCCTGGAGGATATTATAAGTAGCAATAAAGGTATGTCTGTCTATGCAGTAAGGTAGGTATACCATTAAAAGCTTTGAATAAAATTATTAAGTAAGCTAGACGTATAACGTTTAGAGAGATTCTAAAAAATAGACAGACACACGTTTTGATGACTCACCTTAATGTTGTTGTTTACAGTTGTCTATGGAATCACTACTGGGTTTGGGAAATTCGCGCGTACAACCATTGAAAAATCCAAACTTATGTAAGTATACGTATAATTGCTTAGATAAGCTTCATAACGTGTTTATCACTATTCAGTGTCTGTACAGTTTGTCATTAAACTTATTGAATATTTTTCCACGTTTTATGTTTTAGAGAGCTACAAGAAAATCTTATCCGATCTCATGCTGCTGGTAAGTTTAGAAAGTCAAACAATAGACGTATCTGAATATTTGACAAGCCACTGTAGGTTGAAACTATTTTTATTGTTAGTATTTTCAATAATGAATTATATGTACTCCTGTGTTTTTTGTATGCTAACAATATCTTTTCTAAAATATTTCTGCTAAACGTTTGAAAGTTTTGTTTGTAAGAGTATATTTTTGTGTTTATATTTAGAATGTGAAAAAACATCAATATTTACAATATATCATTATAGGGATACGCTACGAAATTAATTATGTAATCGTAACCTATCTTAATAGATGCGTTTCGTTCTATTTTGTTTTGAAAAAAAATCGACATATATTTCTGATAGATATTTAATAGAGAGAAAAGAAAGATGTCACGAGAAGGGAACTATACATGATACTGACAGGATTTTAAATGATAATAAGTAGGTCCTTTGTGGTTTGAATCTGTTCATATCTATATACTTGTTGTTGAATTGTTTGTCAGGTGTTGGTCCACCACTATCCCCAGAGAGGACTCGTATGATCCTGGCCCTGAGGATCAATGTTTTAGCGAAGGGCTTCAGCGGAATCTCCATGGATACACTTCAAAAATATATAGCGGCTTTTAACGGTAATATTTACTTAAATTTAAGTGCTTTTGTTTACTGAAACTGCACATACTTCAAGCAGTATAAGGTAATCAGTATGATTGTTGGCAGGTAAGAGTTAAATAAATCTTTATAAATCTTAAAAATCATAATTTTAATAGCCGTTAATACGTTAACGAAATGGAAATCATCCGGTAAAATTGCACAAAACAAACTGAGATGGTTACGAAGAAAGGTCACTAAATGCAAATAGATAATGCTATTTTTATTAATGTTTATATCTTTTATCTATAGAACGAGGCAGGGTACATTGCGTACTACTCACTGAAGCGCCACATACAAAGCATTAAGTAGTTAAAAAGCATGGACCTGTACATTTAACAACATCAGGAACACACTTGGAAAACTAGCTAACTGAATTCAATTGGTTTGACTATCATATATGGATTTTATAACGAATCTGAATTTATGTATTGATTGTACTTCAAGGAAACAATTTATAAGTAGACAGAGTTTGATAATGAACAATTTTTACAGTATATATGGTGATGTTAGCACGAAATACTTAATGTTATTGTTTGAATGTAACATTTTGTAGCCTCCTGTTTGCCGTACGTGCCTGAAAAAGGGACCGTTGGTGCCAGTGGAGACCTCGCACCATTATCTCATCTCGCTCTAGGGATGATGGGAGAGGGCAAGATGTGGAGTCCAAACAGCGGCTGGGCAGATGCTAAATACGTAAGTATTGAGACAAGGAGGAATATCAATATTAGTCTTCATACAGAAAATATGCTGCAACACTTTTCATCACGAAACTATAAGAATTAATATGCAAATGCCATTCGTTACAGGTTTTGGAATCCAACGGGTTGGAACCAATAAAGCTGGGACCAAAAGAGGCAAGTATCCTATTACAATGTATGAGTGATATATCAATTTATGAAATACCTAATTCAAAATCAAAATAATTCTTTATGCAATCAATGTGATATAAAGAAAACCAAAACTTCAAAAAGATAGTTTCCAATTCTGTCCGTAACTTGGGTTCATAAGAAATTACAATTCAGACTTCTATTTATCGCCTTTCATTACATTAGCAAGACTGACACGAATATGTAAATTAGAAGTGGTCCAATATCCTTTTATGGAAGCAACATAGTAATAATTCATTAGTTGTGTTGTTTTAATTTGGTTATAATTTCAGGTATTGTGAATTAACAAATATTGAATTTTTCGCTAACCCATACCATGTCAAATGGATAAATGAATTTAAGTACAAAACATGATTGCATTGTTGTCATATTTTACTGACAGGGTATAGCGTTGATCAACGGAACACAGCTGATAGCTGGACTCGGTTCTGAAGGTTGGTACATATGACGTTACAATGTGTCGTACCGTGTATAAAATAAAACACATTTTGCTTATAAGACCATCATTTGAGTAGTCTAAAGATTATCATGTTTATACCATATAACAAACAACTGAAAAATACATCATATCTACAGCGGTGGAGAGAGCGGAAGCCATTGCAAGGCAAGCGGATATAGTAGCGGCTTTCACCTTGGATGTTCTCAAGGGTACAACAAGGGCATTTGACAGCAGTAAGTCCTTAATTATAGACTAATAAACTTACCATCGGTGCCAACACTAATTCAGATAATCAAATTTCAACTAAGATGAAGATCAGTTTAGTCGATTTGAAAACAAACGTGAATAAGTACAGAAAATTTTAACCAATGGAACAATGTATGTATATGTTGGTTTTTTATCATTCTTTCAAGATATTGTAAATAACCAATACATTGATACCGCAATAAATCAGTTTTCTAAGTCAACAATTAATTGATGTAAATTTGTTACGAATTTCGTATTTGGCATGACACCATTCTTCAGTTTTGTTGTAAAGTTATTTTGGTACATCGCCGGCAAGCTGTTTATTTGATACCCCAGAAGATATAATAAGGTAGTTCTGTCAAACCAAAAAGTAATCCTTTGTCATTTTGCAGACATTCATGATGTCAGACCACATAAGGGCCAAATAAAAGTTGCCAGAAGATTGCGATCATTACTCCACTCGGAAACACATCCATCTGAGATTGCAGGTATTGACTAAATCAATCATCATAATATGTCATCTTAATTTTATAGAGTATAATGAACTTCCAATAGATTACATGCATCAATACTTAGATGCTACTTGTAATCAGTTTATCCATAACTTGACAATTCATATCATAATGTAATTAAATGTGTTTTATTTAGTACAACTTTTATACAGTTTATGATGTATGTGCATTATGCTTATCATATCGATATCTATTAATATGACAGCGGTGAACGAAATTTCAAACCGTTTTACATTAGGATTATAATAAAAAGGTGCCAATTCTTGTTCCAAAGCTTTCAAACATCTCATTAAAATTTTAAAGAAAAAAAAATAATGAAAATAAAAAGTAATAGTACATATATATAAGTCGTGTATACTTTTTCAGCTAGTCACAGATTCTGTGACAAGGTACAAGATTCCTACACCCTTCGCTGTTGCCCTCAGGTATTTTTATAAAAAGTCAAAATCTCTTTAAAGCTGTGTTATTATATTCGCTGTCGTTATGAATTCGTCCTCATCAGTATATGCAGGAGATGAATATAATATTTCTATCATACAATACATCGATAAACGGTGGAAAAAATATGATTTTAATTTGTTTAATGTCATGTTTGATTTGTAGGTTCATGGAATTGTGAACGACACTATTGATTTTGTAAAAGGCTTGCTGACTACGGAAATCAACAGTGCTACCGATAATCCTGTATCTTTTTAAAATTTTCATAGTGTTCATTGCTAATGAACTGATTAAAAGTAATTACTATGTACCGTATTCTGTTTATAGACAATATTTGTTTTGTTTCAATTTGATATGATATCTAGGAAGCGAATGAAAACTCGTGTAATGAAAACGAATGTACGAATTTGTTTAACGTAATGCTTTTGGAAACATTCATAAAGCAGCCTTTTATTTGACTGAGATAATTGTTTTTATTGATATTTTCACTCTATAACTTTACTGATGTATATGACGCCATGCAATTATGAAGTCACAATGGAAACCTTAAGCAAATCACAAGCTTCATAGATCATATAAACATGCGCAATAACAAGTATTTATTACATAATAAGTTGTGCATAATTCTGCACATGTCTTCTGATGTTATTCCTTAAGCGTGTAAAAGATGGTGTTCGCTGACATCAACGAAATCATTTCTGGAGGAAACTTTCATGGCGAATATCCAGCAAAGGTTTGATATGTTGTAATCTTGAAGTAAAACTATCTTGTAGGACAATTCTAGATTAACAAATAGTGTTGTAATTGTTCGTTCATCACCATTCAAGATTGTTATGTCATAAACATACTAAGCTCAGTTAATCTTTAAATTCTATTACAGAGCAAGATTCAATTCATTCAGTGCACAAAGACAGCATTTTTATATTGAGTAATTACATCTACTACTGATATCTCTTTCAGGCTCTCGATTACCTTGCTATCGGAGTCCACGAGCTCGCCAATATGAGTGAACGGCGTATCGAGAGACTTGTCAATCCAGGTATGTACTATATCGATAGAAGAACACAAACTAGTAGGACTTTCAGTGCCTTTTATATATTAATATGAGAAGTTAAGATTTAACAATAAGTTGTGTTACATATATGGTCATTTTACATCCATACACTATGTAAAAATGTAAGTATTATTATGATTAGTATATCTGATTAAGAAACATGAAATATACATTTATATGTAGCTTAAAATGTTTTTTCTTTTCAGCTTATAGTGAGCTACCAGCGTTTTTAACACCTGATGGTGGACTCAATTCTGGCTTTATGATTGCTCATTGTACCGCTGCAGCCTTAGGTAACTTTCATGTAACTTTCAGTACCGTATATGATAAATAGTTTAATTTTCAAAGCTTCTTTTATTTTCCAAAAGTACATTTATCACCCCGTACAATTAAGCATACAGCCCAGAACATTAAACGATAAATTCGCATAAGAACTTTGATCAGCTTAATGTATTTCCTTGAAAGCACTTTCATTATGATCCTGGTTTCTGTTGAAACTCGTGGTTCTCTTCCATTAATATACTCTAGGATTTATTCCACATATTGATTTGTATATATCAAGACTCCTTATGCTATATTTACCAGTGTCTGAGAACAAGGTCTTGTGTCATCCGGCATCTGTCGACTCACTGACGACAAGTGCTGGCACAGAGGACCACGTGTCAATGGGAGGATTTTCCGCTAGGAAATGTTTACGTGTGGTTGAACATGTCGAGCAAGGTATAGTGAAACACCATAAAGTTACTCATGTTCAAAATGTCACATTCAAGGGTGGTATTACATACAAACATCATTTGATTCAGGACGTTGATAACATTTTAATACAGTTCACTGCTTCAGTAAGTTTTAACAATCTGAATGAAACCCGTGACAGTGATATTTTACATATTCGCATATATCAAATGGAAAAAAAATCAAGCCTACGTTATTTTCGTTGTTTTCTATAGTGCTGGCAATAGAGCTGTTAGCTGCATGCCAGGCGATTGAGTTCTTACGTCCGTTGAAATCTACTCCACCACTCGAAGAAGTTTATAAGTTGGTTCGGAGCAAAGCTGGGTATGTTATGATTAAACTTTTCCCCCGAAAAATGAATTGATAATAAGGATTAAGCTTTTTTGTGACATTTTTAATCAAATTGGATGCAAAACTTATATTGTATCTTTTGTTCTCGGAAACTATATGATATTTTATAAACACTAACATGACTATATTAAATCTACATATATAAATGTGAGGGGCAAATCTTATTGAAAAGGGATTCAATATTTCACAAACAGACCATGGAACAAAGACCGATACATGACCCCAGACATTGAGGCTGTGACAAAGATGCTGCAAGAAGAGCAGGTAAGAATGCTGATGCTTCTGATGATGACGTATACAAAATTACAAAACTATAATAATGATAAAAAAAAAAAAACTAATTGCAATCAAAATTCAGAATTACTCTTTCACACCTAAAAGTTTTGAAACTGAATCACCACAATAATGCTTACTTTTACATAAGCATGAACAAATATTTCATGAGTGAGGCAAAGATGATCCATATGCAAAGCGCAGATGTCAATGAGTTATTGCAATAAAATAATGATTTCTTCAGGTTTGGAGGAAAGCAAAGCCAATGATGGATAACTATCATTCTCTCCAATCTATCGAGACCAGAGTTTTCTCTCCTACTGCTAGTGGCCCGGATGTTCCTCCAATGAAAAGGAGGAAAACTTCAAGCATGTCAAGACGTTGATTGTTGTTGTGTACCTACCTCAAACAGGAAGAGGCTGAAGGCGCAACGTTTAAAGCAGCCATGCTTTATTGCAATCATTATAATGTTTCTGACAAACGATTTTTAATCATTAACTTCGTGTATATGTATACTAGTTCATTCGTATGATCGAGTGAAAAATACATAAGAAAGTGTGTCCATTTATAATTAGGAGAGTAGTGAGCTATGTTATGAAATGAACACTTTACAACACATTTACGAAAGCGACAAATATATCTAAGTATCCTATAATTACAGTAATCACCAAGGATGTTCTGAACGAATGAGGTTTGACTATGTTTAATAATTAATGTGGAGGAAAAGTGAAATGTGGTGAAATGTATGTTTATAGGTTTAAATGCCTTTCATAATAATTATTACTAACACCGATTATTTTCAGAATTAAGCATAATACCATGGGAACATCACAGTGTTGTAACTATTATATTATTACTTTGTTGTTCGGGAAATAAAGTTGATTACACAAATTAAGTTACTTTTCAGTTTTGTTTTTATTTTGAATATTGATCAATTCGATTAATGATGCCAGTAATATCAGTTGTTCTAGGACTGGTCAGCGATACAAAGGATCTTAAGTTCTGTGTCCGATATTTTTTAATTCAAATCCATATTTGATATTGCTGGATATTATTCGTACATTATCATCAATGCGAACTTTCTGATAACGTCTGCAATCAACCGAGTAGTTAAGATCGTGGGCATTCTTTAACAAGCAGCAAAGATGGCTAAGTAATGTGCCTATTTGATAAAGGTAGGTGGAGAAAATAGATACATTTGTTTTAAAACTTAGATCGGTGTAGTTTGTCTTTGTGTTATCTTTGAACTCTCTAATGTAATGTTTTGTTAGGGACAATGTATTCCACCTGTAGAAATCCAGCTACACAACAATATTCGATACAGATCATGATGCCCCTTTTCAAAACCTTCGAACTAGTAAGCAGAGCTTTAAAATCTAAATAAAGTTGACGCATCGCATTGTTTAGTTAATTTGCGATAGAGACTGTTTTATTAATAAAGAACACGTGTTATATATATCTTGCATTACCCAGCATGTAATACTTACTAGTAAAACGGATTTTATACTGCATTGAAATGATAAAGTGAGTACCTAACACTATCGTATCATTAATGACAAATTGTTGATATTGGAAACAAACAAGACGCGAATGAGCTTGTCTGTCCTAAGCACAATGATCTTATGGCCAAATAAGTAAAGGTATGACCTAATCAAATGTATTCTGGTCAGTACACCAGGAATGTGTGGCTTACTTGTGACAGATAGGAACCCTCCGAGTGTGTGAAGGTCATGGCATAAAAAGATAAGCTAGCTCACCCAACATGGCTGACGTGTTGTCTAAACGTGCAGACAGGACCTTAAACATTCCTGAGTTTTTAGTGCATTACCTGTTGGAGGTATCTGCTAACTCATTCCACCCTGCTGATAACCCTTCCGTAAGTATAACAAGTGTGACACAATGAAAGCAAATATTTACACTTGAAAGTCTCACAGTTAAAAGGACAGGGGATGATGGTTTCTCGTAAGCAACCCACATAAAGTACAAAAGGTATTATCCAATATGATATAATATATTACAATATGATAATGTAATATGAGTGTGATAAATAAATAGTATATATAGAATACATATATCTTGCTTGTAAATCGGTGTAATCAGGATATGACTTGACCTATTTGTTAATATTTTTATCACATGACTTCCCAGTTATCAGTATGGAAACACCCATTAAATATTATTTTCGTTACGTACGTATTTTACATACGTGTGACATGACCTACATTGTAGTTGAGATGTGATAGGTTGAACATTCATGTTGTTTCCAATGTAACATCAAAGATTCATGGCATCATATACATCAGTAAAGAAAGATCCATGAAGAGAATTTTGAAACTCGCCCCAAATGTTTTATTTTACCTCCCTAGCGACTCGATTCAATGAAAAATACCCAATGATCGTTCCATGAATCTCGTATGAATGGAAAATTATGCAGGGTACTATATATCTGAATTTTGGATTTCAGGGCATAGTGAACCTTGGTACAATTGAAAATAAAACCTGTGAAGACATATGGCTGAAAAAGGTACATACAGTTTACCTTGATTATCCCTTCATAACAATGTCATAACCATACTGTATACTCTATAGTTAGTTATATATATGATTAATTTAATCTCGAATTATAAAGTGAGGATAACGTGAACTGAAATACCAAGCAAATATTTTACGGTGAACTAAACTCTGGGAAAAGGTACTTTTAATAATGTATAGACACGCACGAAACCTAATCCCTGTGAGCTTACGTAAATCCAGGACACCCGGGAAAACTAGCCCCGCGAAACAAATGGGCAGAATAGAAAGAAAAAAATACCATCATATTCTGTATCAAGTCTTCCAACATTCTTAAAATACTAAAAAAAAAGGAAGTATTCTGATTTATAAAATAAATCTTGAATTTAGGGTTCTGCAACGTTTTCACTTTATCAACATTATCCTTTTGTGTTGAAGCTTACTGTATAGATTAAAGGCTGTCAAATTGAGATCAGATGTAAACAACGTTACTGTATTCAGATTCAGAATACTTCTGATTTTCCATTGAGACATATACGGTTTACGTAGGAAGAGTAATTAACTTAGTTTCTGCCTTGTATGGGACCAAGTATGCTACCTATAAAAGACACACATGTTATATTGATTATCGTTTTTTCAAGCATAACACAAGGTCACACATCTATAAACATGTATATTATTCAGGTTTGATTTCTTCATTTGTTTTATTCCGGAGACTAAAGAACCTGGAATTGCCGTTGATTGAGGCAATTGTCACCAATGGATGCAATTTAAATGAAATCATTTAAAACATTTACAAAAAGATCCTTTCAAGGTAAACAAATGAAAGGATAGCGATGTATCATGAATGTAATCTCTACCTTTGTATTTTCAATTCAATCTGTACTGTCAGTTTTAGATTCTGCATCCATTTTTATTTCATCTTATTTTAGGTGGAGGATTTGACCCCTTTGATTGCCGATAAATCCTCACTGTATTATTACAATTTATCTGGCTTTGAAACGTAAGTAAAGACTACATGAATACGTAAAATTTCCTTAAAGCATACCCACACAAATAAAAGTATGTAAATTTCATCATGCATTTGTTCTAGTTTTCGTTTATATACAATGTATCCTAAACATTTTTTTTTCGTGTCTTTTTTCACATTATATTGGATAACTAAAAGGAAAATACCAACATGTTAACATAATTATAATAATCCAAATCCAAATTCAGTGACATTAGGGTAAATTATGAACAAAACAAATTTTTACCCGGAGACTCCTGGAAAAGACCATGCATTTTGGAAGAGCAATCGCCTTCTGTTTTATCGATGACGTCTGAATACAGGAGTCAATTTAAAACGCTTACTTGTTATGAAAATAATAGGTTCCATCTCATCAAAATAAATCATATAGTTTGTTAATAAATTGGAATTTTTCAGCGAACTTGTATATATACTATATCGTATCTACAGTTAAACAATATTCTAGACCCACAATTTATCATACATAAAAGTCCACAAGTCATGGCATAAGATTGTATTACGATTAAAATGGAATATGTTTACGTTGTTATCTGAGCTTCGTTTTCTTATATAGGGGAATATCTCTATTAATACAACCTTGTGGACTAGACAACAGCGAGGTAGTATGAATAGAGTGCATGGCCAATTGAAAAAAACATACTTCCCTTACAATCACTTCTATCCATCTATTCAGTCATTACAATAAAATATAGGTTACGTAATATAGAACAAACCGTAATTATTCTTGAGTTGAAGTTTGACACATAAAAACTAACTCATCTGACACGGTTAAATACACACCAGGTAACTTTATACTTTTTTGTGACAGGTCGTTGGTCTGATAAGTGAAGTGAAATTCATTACAAGACAGTTCTTTGAAACTTTTCAAAACTGGTCTTAAATGCACTGGTCGAAAATGCGATATGGTCAATAGGGACGTGGTCTATTTTGTCTAATTCATAGAAGTCCGGATCGTTTTGTACAAACTTGCAAGAAATTATATTTTAAACATGGCTTATTAACCCTATTTGATGTTACAGGCTTCGTCAAAATATTGGCAAGTTTTTAGGAACCAAATTGAAACTCCCGGAGCCTCTTGATCCACAAAAGGTATTATTGCCGGACTACTAGTAATACATTAAAGACCCCAGCCGCAGCCGCAGTCCGAGACCCATTCCTCCAAGCAATCACATCGTTATGCGACACTGAGGATTATGCTAATAATATTACATTCTGAAGCATAATAAGCAAAGAAATCATGCAATGCTTACAATTATCCCTCAATAACTTTCACCATGACTGCGTGACGACGTTGAGAATCGTAAATATCACAACAAAAACGACCGTATCAACATTAGATTGTCCCTCTTAATATAAATACATTAATATAACTTTCTAATTAACATCTATCGTTGATGATAGAGATAGTCATGGTAAATGATAGAAATGTTTTACACTTTCAGATAGTTCTTCTTGATGGAGTGACAGCTGTTCTTAATGCAGTAGCGTTAGCGATCGCGGATGAGGGTGGTAGGTCGTGCTTTATATGTTATTTTGTGACAGGTGTTATCTAAGCGGTCGTGTATAATTTCAATTTCAAACATCTTTATTGACATATAGATACATATATTACAAAGGATCGGACATCAGACAAGACTATTTCAGTCCTCTATCAAACATAGCATTACAGCGGTATCCGACAAAATACATTGATATACAATATATATAATAATCGTATTACAACATAACACAAGGGAAACAATCCCTTTCTCCCTAAATTTGTATAAATTTGCGTGTTAATATTTTCATGAAATTTCGAATCAGGAATCTATTGGGTACAAATTAGAATTTCTGGAAAAGAACATATGTATATCATTAATCACTTGGCTATATTGTTGAAAATATTTATTGAAATTAAATTTCTTGACCGTATCAGATACAGGCCAAAGATCGATTTCATTCTGTTTTTTGTTAATTCATGAACATATTCATTATAGAACTTCTTGAATTCAAAGTTGATTTTTTCATTAAATATCTGTTGATCACATGAAATATAATGGGTAGCATTCAACGTGTAGAACGTTTGTTATCACCATTAATTTACAGGTGACTCACCTCACCGTGAGGGATAAAAGTACTATACAATTATTTATTAAATCATGACAGCGTTCATATAGCTATTATGTTGATCACGGTAGAGAACGGTTATGCTCCTTCTAAAATGCTCTAAGCAACATCGATATTTGGTTAATCGATCCATCTGAATATTTCTCATTCGTTTTAAGTAAAACTGGTCAAATACTCCTTGTAATTTTTCAGGAGTTTTGGTATATTTTAAATCTTTCTGTTTTTTCTTATTGTGCCCCCCCAAAAAAATTCGATTCTATATATATCTTGTAATATATTGGTCGTCCTAGATGCCATACTATGCCCGATACCGACCTATGGACGTATACTTAATGACATAGAGGAAGTGGCCAGCGCCCGATTCTACAAAGTACCGATGTTTCAGGTATTTTCTATTAATAAAAGTTGAACAAGTTTAATACTAAACAAACGTCTATAGGATATTATAAAATGCGGCTTTCGTAGTAAGAATATCGTATATACGGACACTGTTATGCGGATATTAGGTTTTAGTTTCAAATAAAGATATTTAACTGTTATTTCATTTTCCAGGAATGTGACACTGGTGATGCAGCTGAGTTCCGAATTGATGTAATTGAAAAATATTATGAAAAAGCTGTTAACGAGGTAATGAAATTAACCATGGTAACGACGTAACTACAACGTAAAGGACGGTTCAATTTGGAATCGATGTCTATTCGCTTCTTCCTTCTCGACTTCCCGCTGGCCATTGCCAGTGTGAGATATTCACTAGAGGTGAAATACTACATTGTCGAGATTTTCACATTTCGGTATGATGTTATTTCAGTATGAAGTCATTTAGGCAATAGCTTCAGATGCTGTGATTATCTAAAGCCCTCCAAAACACACCCACAAATAACGTTCATGTGTATCAATATTTAATTTTAAAAAGTATTTAAACTGACCAGAATTTTTCATATGTTATCCAATCGAATGGTTTGCATATTTTGGTTCTTCAAACACAAATTTACATATCAGTATTGAATTATTAAAGTTTTAAACTGAAATATGTATGATAAGATATCATCCGTGTTAACACCATTCTGCTCTTGCAGGGTCGCAATGTGAAAGGACTTATCCTGTGTAACCCCCAAAACCCGACAGGAAAAGTTTACAGCCAAAATGATATATCCTGTCTGCTGGACTTTTGTGCAAGGTATTCAGTAGGATTGATATTCATCTTGTTAAGATATTCCTGAATAAACAGTTTCGTATTTGTTGCTTGTTTTTTAAATGGTTAAATGGTATAATAAGCTTTAAGTTTAAGCTTATTCTTCTATATAGGAACAAAAGTGTACAACATCACTTTCACTTGATGATGAAATCAATTTTGTATAATCACTTTTTTTCTCTCCTATTCAAAATAGTATTAAAGGATGAGGAACAAAATGTAATTACATGAATTTTGTTTTAGGAAAGGGATCCACATTGTTGTTGATGAAATCTACGCACTGTCTTGTTATGACAAACCAGAATTCATAAGCGTGCTTCAGTGCAATATCCCTGATCCCGCTCGTACCCACTTCCTGTGGGGGTTCAGTAAGGTATGGAAATGTCCAGCAGATGTCCAAATGGTGTCATATAATGTCATATTCCCTTCCTGTAAGAATTATGTATAGCAAGGAACCAGTACCTGTCAAGCATTGTCATACTTCTGATGTGGGTTCAGAGAGGAAAAATGAATTCGATATCATCCAACACATTGCCGTATCACCTTTCCGTAACAGTACATTAATATCCGTCAAGAATTATATAAAATTAGCCGGTATGAACTTTCTGTCTGGTGGATTAAAGTAAAGCACTTGTCTTTTTAAGCTAAGGACATATACATATTTCATATTTCAATTATAAATAACAAATATACATTAATTTCTGACTATAATTGTAATTCCTTAATCTGTTGTTGCATGTTGCTTTCAGGACCTGTCACTCTCAGGCTTTAGGTGTGGAATGATATACAGTGAAAGCACCCGGCTAATAGATTACATTCGTAAGGTATCGTTCTTCTGCTCAGTGCCTGCCCCCGTTCAAATCATCTTAAATGCCATCATTTCTGACTCCGGTAAGCAATGTTTTCTCAATGTCGGTTTTGAATATGTAATAAGACAAATCAATGAAATAAAAATACACTTCGTTGTTAAAATGATATATGGTAGTGAATTAGTTGATTTCTTTAGTGTCATTTGCCGGGATTGAATATGTAATATAATTCAATAATAATAATTTCAATTGCATGTATACAGTTTAACTTCGCTTTTATTCAGAATGGCTAGATACAGTTTACTTTCCAACGTACCAAAAACGTATGCGGGAAAACTTTGAAATCGCATGTAGGGGTTTAGAAGCCATTGGGGTTCCATTTTACAGAGGAACCGCCGGAAGTTACATCTGGATGGATCTAACAAAGGTTTGTATGTTTCAGGAAGATGTTTAATAGACTGATATAGTGTCGAATTATGATTACCTATATGGATCTACAATTCAAAAATGTTCTTATGATTATTGTGTACATACTTTTAAGTCATGTATTCTCCCGATATCATGCAAAACATTTTAATGATAAAAGTAAAAAAAATGTTTTTATGTGATTGGAATGTTATCGATAACATATTTTTAGAAAATTGTTCTATGTTAACAATTCTAAACCTTTAAAAAATACCCCATAGAAAGAACTGATACTTCTCGTAATGGATGGAAATATTGTTCTCGATGAAGTTTGATTCTGTTGCTGCTACTGTCGCTGCTGCTGATGATTAATTCATTTTGTAGTTTTTACCCAGCAAGACTAATGAAGAGGAACTAGCCTTATTCCATAAGTTACTCCTGGGCGGAGTTTACCTATGTCCAGGCAAAGAAATGTTCTCCCCTTACGCGGGCTGGTTTCGTTTTACCTTCACAACGTACAAAGACCACGTGATAGAGGGTGATTTTATAAAATACAACTGGCTCATTATATGATGATTTAACCTTTTGTTACTATAAAAGATGGCGATACCTCTTATAGATATCGACACGACATCCGTGTATAAGTCCGATTTATACTGAAAATTTTATCAAATAGAATACGTGGCTGTTTTCTGAAATTGTATCAGTAAAAACATAGATATTTATAAATTTGTAACCAAAATAACCGGTTCATCAGAATTCAGCATATCTGTCCTGAATTAAAAAAAATTTTAATTGACGTGGTTAAATTTTAAGACTATTTTAAAAAGTAATTTCCGTTCCTTAAACATGTATATCATGCTTAGATGTATTTCAATATTTCCTTTTTTATTGCATATTGTAGGTTTGAAGAGGATGGAAAAGGTCCTGACAAGTAATTGATTTCTGAAAACCTACCAGGGATTTTATCACTTTAAATTTATCACTGTCGTGATGTTTAAAGAAAAATGCTTAATTTTTATTTCAATTTTGTTTCTTATTTGTATTGAGGTGGTGGTATGTATCATACTTTCTTATGGTATATGAATGCATGGCTGTGAAAAAAACATAATCATCCATGTCTTGTTTTTATCATGCAATAGTTTACTGTATAATCCATCCTGGTAACCTTGGTATTTAACTGTGACATTTTACAGTATCTTCATGTTAGATGCACCAATACGTAACTGAATTGACATGTTTATTCCTGTGGTGCTGAAAACCGGGAAACATTTTTTTATAAAGTAAAACGATAAAATAAAAAAAACCCTTTAAACTACAGAGAATGCAAAAGCATATGAAACCAAATACAAAAGTTTACAAACATGTTCCTGACGCCTTTTAACCTCTAAGTGTGATCTAATTTTTCCTTATGACGTTATGTAATCATATATAACAATAAACATGTCTCATCAAATCGTTTAGTTGGGTCATAGTAAGATAGTTTGTGATACACGTACTCGAATATCACTCTGAGAAAATTCTTGAACTAAAACATAAAAAAGCAATCATGTAATAATATAACAATAAACATGTCTCATAAAATCGTTGAAACAAATCATAGTAAGATAATTTGTGAAATACATACTCGAAAATCACTTACAAAAAACTTGAACTAAAACATAAAAAAGCAATTTTATTACTTCCAATTCAGGAGTGCTTTACTATCACAGAACAAATTGAAAGACATCAACTTTCAGGACTATTTCACTGTTCCGCATAACTAAAATTGTATCTATAATGCAGAGCCAAACGTTCTTGTGCAGCAGTTGTTACAGAACTAATTCAATATGATAACCAAATCAAATTCAACACTCGATAAGCTCCAATTACTTCAACTAAACAACATCAATATTAATTTGCATGAAGATGATGATTTCCGCAACGCTCTAGCTGTATAAATGTATCACGTTTCTAGTTACTTACGGTAGTAAAAACCTATATCTATGTATCCATATCATTATCAAACTATATATGTTGTGGGCCTTAAACACGCATTCCCATTATCAAAGTTCGTTATAGCCATGCGAATTCATTTGAAAAAAGCCGTGCGTGTGAAATGCCCTTACACTAATTTATTACATAACAGTTCTCGTATTTCCACCTTCGCGATATCGTCAGATTACACTTTCAATTTTTCAAGACAGAAAAATGAATATCACTTCTCTCAACGGTGATCACATAACTTAATCATTTAAATACACGAACAAGTAATAGATGTATCTCAATATCGCTATGAAGGAGTTAGAGATGATTGTGATTATGATTGTATGCACCACTTTACAAAAAAGTTACGTCACAAAATAAATAAGAGGATGATCAAGGCCGACACAGAAATAGACATCAATTTAAGGAACTAAACTAACATTCCTAAATGTTACAGGTCGCACTTCAGTATGCATGCCTCTACATCTTATATCAAAACTAGTTTAATATGCGCTGTATTTATTTCAGAATCCCACAAGATCTTGCTTTGGTTTGCGCTAGAAATTTATTTAGTGGAAATTCCATTTTTTAGAAGATTTCAGAAGAATTAAACAAGCCCGATAAAACGGGGAACGTCATCCTGAGAACGTACCAACAGAAGACGACAAGCACGAGGTTGACCTGTTAAAGGTCAATCGGTGAAAAGAGTATAACACTACTGCTTCGAATTATTCCGTCATTAAAATGACTTTATAATATGCCAATAAACATACATATAAAACATAGTTTGACAAATAAAATGTGAACTACACTTGTCAAAAATAGTAAATTACGATTTACACTGTTCTATTCTAGTACCGTATAATTTAATACTTAGTAACTTACCCTGTTACCTGTATATGCAATTATTCTTAAAATTTCAACATTTTTATCGCCGTTTTCAAACAAAAAAAGGAATGTGAATAAAAATTATACAAAATTAAGCATATCTTAACATTGTAGAGAATCCTTAAATAAAATACGTATGACGTAAGATACATGTACATGTACATTCATAAAAACTGAGCAATTCTTTAAAAGTAACCATTCAACAATATTGTCGTCAACATACAAAATCAACGAAATCGTGGCAACATAAAAAAACACGATTATTCGTAGAAGTAGAGGAACAAAAGGAAAATAAATTACATATAAATACAATGAAAGATTTAAATGTCGATCCCTGAATAAGTAATTGTACACGTGTACTTGAAATACCTTTTAGTTATTCAATATTCCGATTGTACCATCTATAAAGTTACATCTATATAGGGCGAATGTATTGCTCTCATTCTCCTTCTGGAGTTCTTTGTTTCGTCTAAAGCATTACTAAAGTGCCCCAGTACGATGCAAACACTGTATGATACAGCTATTTTCAGCAGAAGGTATATTTGTTTTCAATGTTCAAGAGATTTACAATACAAAGATATATTTTCTTTTCTTCTGCATTTTCATGCATCGTTTTTATAAAAGCATTTCTAGTGATAAGCTGATTAGTTATAGAGGAAATGAAGAATTAGCTTATTTCATGAGCTAAGAACTCAAGCGTGCTTTTCTACATGTAAATTATAGACCAAAATAATGGATTCGTGAGCAAATATCTGTAATAAGTATCATATAGTAGATAGGATCCGTGAACAAATAATGTTCTGAATAAAACAATGAATGCATGTATATTTTTTCATGCATCCAACGCGTCATTGGTGTTGCCAATATTGACCTTAACGGGGTCCCCCTCCGGTGTTTTAAGCCACTGTCGTTTTTCAGTCTTCGTGCTATACTCGTATACTTGGCCTGAAGCTGAAAAGAATTAATAAATGCAATATGTTTCGGTTAAGGTTAAAAATGAAAAGAAATTCAGAAATAACAATACGTTTATATGTAGATATCAAACGAAAATAGAAGATTTATTATTGGTTTTACAAGCGATCTTAATCTTGTTTGATAAATTTCTTCATGACAAATGTTTTACCTTCATATATTACCTTGGTCAAACGCTCTCCCATCAAAATCTCTATTGGTAATAACAAAATCACTCTTTTTTTGCCAAGCGTTTATATCTCCTCCAGGTTCTGCTACAAATGCTGTACTGACAGGCGCTTTACTATTGAACGTCTGGAAAGGATGTTAAGATCATGAGGCCACACACTTAACAAAAAGGTATCACGGGAGAATTTCCTTCTTATAAATATAATTTTACATAAATACGGAATACAACTTTGGAAACTTGGAAATGATATAACTTACGAAAGAAGTCGAAGTGGAATAGGAAAGAATGTCTTTCAATGAAAAGGAATCAAAAGTAAGTATCTTATATTATTTTATACTAATGAAAATAAAGGGATTTTGTTACTGAAAATGATATTCAGATACTCACAGAGGCCGCTGCTACTGCCCTTCGGCCTTGGCCTGAATTTATAACAAATTAAAAACATAGACGTTACTACAAGACTTAGAAGCGAAAGGCATATCTAAATGGCAGCTGAAATACTGTCACGTTGTCATTATACGTCAGCTGTGTTCCGATTTGCATAAAACATCACATTTTTGAGATTCAAAAATCCCGTAACGCTCACCGAGTCTTATATTCCTATCGGGTTGTACAGCTTTGTAATCTCTCACCGTCAAGGTACAGTGCATTTCAGTCAAAAAAGTGGATTAAGAACTGTGTTTGAAAATGCTATCGTTTTCGTGATGTCTGGAAGAACAGTTTAACTAGGACACCAGTACTTGAATTACAATCCTTATGACATCAATACAATTATATTACGTGAATATGGTGGAGGCTGCTTGTCAGATGAATCGACACCATTTGATTCAACGACCTCTGCTCTTGGCGCTTTACTTGAGGCACTTTCTGCCGCGTCTGCTGTTCTGAAAATTTAAATCCAAATAAGATTATCGTTTATATGAAAGAATCGAAAAATCTATTTCTAGCCTTCAGAAATAAGATTTTGCAGCATTGACAGATATCAAAAGACCATCATTAAGATGAAATATTTTCAATTACAATTGTTAAAAGATATGTCAAATCTGGACTTTTCCATTATCTCAAAAGACTACCTCCTAGCTCTGCAGTACTTGACGATGACTACCGTTGCCGCGACAATACATATGACACCAACAAGAACACAAATTGTGGTTACGGCGATACCAGTGGCTGTTTGTATCCAAGGCGTGCTACTGTCGGTTGAGCCGCTATCGTAAAGTGGTATTTTTTGTATGGCATATGGATCCCATGAAGTCCCTGTATGACATTATGTATAAAAGACAATATTACAACAGAAAGAAAATCTACATCTAACAGATAAATGGTTGAGTTTTCTGCATTTCGAAACACTGTTTACATTATTGACATCAGTTAAAAGATCCCAGTGTCCATACATTAACAAATTAACATTTAAAGTGTCTGGTTAGTTCTGATGAAATTTATATAGAATTTTCTGCATCTGGCAAAATAGGGGATGATGTCGCAATGTTTACATGGACTTGAATCAAATTAACCGCAAGTTTGAATTACCTATAACACTTGCTGATGGTGTTCCCGCCGTATCGGTAGCCACAAATCCTTGGGCGGTTGATGCACTGAGGAACACTTTATTGGAAGCGACGTTACTAACGGAATCCGTCGTATTGTCTTGTAACACATACATATGCACAATACTCAAGCTGGAAAATAAATATTTCCTAGAATCAACAGGAATTACATTCTAAGCTAAATGCAAGAAACGTGTTTACTTTGTTTTTCTGTCCATAGTATTTTTTTTTCGATTCTACTGTCCCAATAATATTCTGATATTCTGCAACATAATTCTTACCTTCCGGATGATTCGATGATACACCATCGTTTGACCGAGGCGGATGGATATGTGACCTGGTACACGGCATCTAACAGACCGATGAATGTACTTTCTACCGACTCGTAGTATGTTTTATTAATCCCCAAGTAAAATGAAATTACAACAATAGAGGGAGTATACGCATCTATCCGAATAGTCGAACTGGTGCTGGTCGTGAGCTGTGGGCTACCGCCGTCATGAGAGTAGCCATAGGTAATATAACGTTTCCCACTTGACAATGTTGACGCCCGAGTAATTTCACCTGCAATCGTATATTAAAACAAAATGTCAATTAACATGGAGACATTTCGGACAATGTCACAAGTGGAAGTGCATTCGACATAAGAAACAATACTACAGTTACAAAGTATTAAGTATATATGTAATGAGCAAACGTACCTGTGCTAGAGTCCATTGTAAAGTCACTGTTTGAGGTTGTGAAGTAATAGTACAACTGCGCGTTGGCACCATCATCCGCGTCCGACGCAGTTAGTGTTAAAATAGTGGGATTACATGAACCTGTATACGGAACCTCCCCGTTGTAGTAGGTCGGAGAAAATATTGGGGAGTTATCGTTTTCATCTCCTACTGTCACTGTGAGAGTTGTGGATCCAGTTCTAGGTATCGTACCAGTATCTACAGCCAAAACTACTACAGTAAATGTCGCATCAACCTCTCGGTCAATCGAGGATTTTACTTCTACTAAGCCTGTAGAGGAACCAATGGTCAGATACAGATCTGCTCTAGCACCTGCTGTTGTAGAGGTGTCGAAAGAATACACAATGACTGCATTGACGCCCGTGTCAGCATCCGTAGCAGACATTGTTGTTATCGAAGTGCCAACAGCAGTATTTTCAGTCACTGTGGCGGAAAAGGTCGTACTGGCAAATGTCGGGTCATTGTCATTAAGGTCGTTTATTGTTATGGTAACATTAGTGTCCGACGACAGCACAGGAGTTCCAGAATCCTGGACACGGCACCATATAACGTACGTGTCGACACTCTCTCTATCGAGACTAGCGCTTGTTGTTATTACTCCCGTTGAAGTGTCGATGGTTACAGGGTTTGAACCACCCGACCAGTATCCTATAATGCTGTAACTTATCGCCGAGTTGACCCCGGTGTCCGCGTCCGTAGCTGCTATAGTGCCAACATTCGTACCAGTTGCAACATTTTCGTCCACTGCAAATGTGTATGGTGCTGCCGTCCATGCTGGGGTATTATCATTGAGGTCACCAATGGTTACAGTACATGTAACGCTAGCTGTTCTAGGAGTCGCACCATTGTCAACAACGTAAACCTCCAAAGTATATGATGCTGTTGTTTCTCTGTCGAGGGAATTCGCCGTTTGTAATATTCCTGTTCCAACCTCAATCTTGAAGTCTGTATTAGTATTCCCAGAATTGATGCTGTAACTTAACTGACTGTTTTCTTGATAGTCTGTATCAGTTGCAGTGATTGTGAACACAACAGTGTTGACGGCGGTATCCTCGTCTATCGTGCTATCGTAAGTACCAGATATTATGGGGTCGTTGTCGTTTACATCTATCAAGGAGATGGTTATGGTGGAGGTGCCGGTCAGAGGGGTGGCCCCTTTGTCCGTCGCTAGGATCACCATGTCATAACTAAAACTCAAAGAATTATCAGGTGTTTCATTCTCATCTTAGCGACAAGAAACAACACGAAAATAACAAAATATCAACATAATTATAATTAAAACCTAAATTCAATAAAACTATGACAATATATGAACAAGAAAACCATTTACACGAGGCCCCTGAAAAAATACAAGGAGAATAAGAGTAGGTGTTCTGGGAGAGTAATCATCTTCAAGATGTAAACATAACAAAATTCAACTCAAAATAGATTATTGGAGGGAAAGCGTATAGGAAGAAATGATAACGAATGATTAATTTTGAGAGAGCAAAGACCATCAATTGCAGCGGCAAAGACTTTCGTTCTCTCACGGTCTGATGAATCTAGGTCAATCCACGTCATGTAACACACTCGACAACAATCTTTTAAGTACAGATTATTCTACTTTAATTATTGACGAGCTTACGACACATTCAGCTTTGAACACATGGTTATAATTTCATTAAAAAAGCCATCAAGACGACCAAATATCTTCCTTGTGAATTCAAAACTTCTGAAATGACCTCTCTGTAAATGAACAAATTTGAAATAATAAGCTGTTTAATGTTACATAATCTCTTATAATAATCGTGTTTACCTTGCTGTAGTTTCTCTGTCCAAGACAGAATTACTAGTAATTATCCCTGTGGTTGTTCCGACAGTAAACGGTACGGATGACGTTGTACTGTACTCAAACACATTATTATTGTTGCTGACAGAATCAGCATCAGTAGCAGATACTGTGGTCACGGTCGTAGAAACCGCGGAGTCCTCAGACAGTGTGACGGTATACGTTGTTGGGTTAAAGGTGGGTGTGTTGTCGTTTTCGTCTGACATGGTCACCTGGACGAGACACTGAGCAGTTAAAGCAGGAACTCCATCAACCGCTTGTACTATCATGGAAAATATTGTATTCACTTCATAGTCTATGACGGCAGTTGATGTGATTATACCCGTGGAAGAGTCTATGGTAAAGTAAGAAGCTCCATCACCTGAGAAGATTGAGTAGGCTATCGTACCAAAGGTACTGGCATCCCCGTCTGTAGCAGCTACCTGCACCAACGTCGATCCTATGGCTTGGTTCTCGGCAAACGTCGGTCTGAAAAAAAAGATGAAGTTATCATATATAGATCATTTCTCTTTATATATCATCAACTGTGTCCAATAAGTGGTTAAAATATAAAAATCATCTAGAAGTTGTGTATTAGGACTATTTTGTAGTGAATGCAAGCTGAATTTTAAGGAAATTATTAATAGAAAAAAATATAACGATACTGCTAAATAATCCAACTACCTCCTACCCCTAAACACCCCCATCCCAGATCCCTTAATTGAATTAATGCAACTGCACTGTCAAGGACGAAGAGAAATACATACGAGTACGTCGAACTACCAAAAACAGCAACTTCGTTGACGTCATTCACAGTGATGGTGACGGTGGCAGTGACGTAAGTTGTACCGTCATACGCGGTTACAAAGAGTTGATGATTGGTTGCCGTTTCGTAGTCCATGCTCATAACAAGCAAAATGGTTCCGGCGTTCGTGTCCAATTCAAACATAGAGTAGGTGGCGACAAAGGCATAAGATATTGAATCGCCAGTATCTACAGAGTCTGTAGCCGTAACGGTCACTAATGTAGATCCCACAGCTGTGTCTTCCCCAACAGACACAGCGTACGTTCCTGTGAGCAGAAGAACAGAACCGCTTTCAGTAAATATTTGTATTATGGCCTTCAATAGACGCATGCTCATTACTTGTTAACATTGGTAGAAATATTTTGTCTCTTATGATCTAGTTTAAAACATTCGATGTTTGCATACCCATTTGTATTAACACAGTCAATTTTCATGTATGACAATTTAAAAGTTCATAAAACGATGTTAATCATAGTCACCAGAGTTTGTAAACACGGGAGAGCCCTCGTCCTCATCTCCTACGTTGACGTCGATAGTTACTGTAGCTGTGAGTTCCGGTGAACCGCCATCTTTTACTGTCACTTGTAAGTTATAAAATGTCGTCGTCTCATAGTCAAGAGATGCTAAAAATAAATAAATAGAATATCAACTAAAGAAATCCGGGATATGATTTCATAAGCTTATTTTATGGATAATTTACTTAACTGTTAACATTTCAATATTGATTACTTTACCTATAACTTCAAGGGAGGCAGTAGATCCGGAAACGGTCACCCCGAATTTATTATCCGGATTCTGCGTCATCGCGTACGTCAGTGTGGTTCCGGCATCCCCATCAGAGCAGGCGAGGTCGGATATCACCGCCGTATTCACAGCTAGAAATAAATATATAGCACATTTATGATTCATTTTAAGCCCTTGTTGTTAAGAGGAATATTTCATATCACATCCATCTCCTCTTAATTATCTGTAGCAATACCGTTCCGATACTCTCGTGTGCCAAATAGAAGTACAGTGCGGAAAATTCTCAGGAAATTAATAAAAGTACAGGGCGGAATAAAAGTACAGAGCGGAAAATTCTTTGGGAATTCATAAAAGTACAGGGGATTAAAAGTACAGCATCTTCAAAATGAAATTAAATGTTGGTAACACCCTATCAGCACGATTTCGGCTATTTAAAGACATCCCTCTCATGAGATGAAGGATGAATTTAGGAGAGTTATACACCGGAAAAATTCTCGCCGGGGTTCGAACCCCTACCATGCGCCGCCATTTTGTCCATACAAGTCATGTGACATCTATTTTTTCCTCTGATGCTACACCAGATCTCTGTCTTGAAAATCAAAATTTATTCGTCAGAATCACGATGCATTACGTACAGCAAAACACCGCGCCAGGACATTTCCCAGAAATTACAGCGCTCGAAAAACAAACTCAGGCCAGGGACAGATTGGGCGATTTCATTTCCAGTTATGTTCCGTTCGTCGCAACACGGTGAAAATATGATTTCGCGTTTTGAAGTAAGCAGTGATAGACAGTTGAGAATATCATCACACATCACGGAAATGTCAAACAAATGTGTTTTCCATTCACGTATTTTGAGATTCCGCTTCTGTCTAACTGAAAATGCAATGCAATGTTGAGCCTAGTCGTCTTCGTTTTACCGATGGTGGACGTACCATCAGGTCACCATTTTTACGGGGGTTCGCAATGGAGTTTTTCTTGGGACAGAACATAGATTTTTTTCAACCGTGGGATGTTATGGGATGTGGAGCATTATATATAAATTTAAGGTTTTCCTGTACCCTACAAACGTAACCATACCTGTATTCTCCGCCACGGTCAAAACACGAGATGACGGCGTGCATGTTGGCGTATTATCATTAACATCCGTTACTGAAACAGTCACGGTACCCGTCCCCTGTTTAAAAAAGAAACAGGTTAAAAACAGCTATATGATAGCTTCAAACGTTGGTTATGTTGCAGTTAATTGGTTTATTCGAGAAAACCAAAATCGATGTTCATGTTGAGCATGATTATGTATACAAAGTATGATGATTTTTTTGCTACGGCTACTTACCGTTAATCCTCCCCCGTCTGTTGCCACTACTGTCAGTCCATAATCTGTAGCAGTTTCATAATCCAGAGTTTGCGCTAGCTGAATATTTCCAGATGTCTGATCGATAGTGAAGTAGGAGGTTCCGCCATTAGTGACTGCAGCAATTAAGCGAAATTCAAAATATCACACAAAAGTTGCCGATTTTTTTTCTTGATAAGCATTTTGTAGTAATTGCCATAGATCTCATCATCGACCTCACCGCTTATTAAGGATTTCGTCTCTCATTTTCGCAATATCGACAATGTTGTAACAAACTTCTTTTGTGTATCTTACGTACCCCTTTTGACATTTTTATACATTTTTAAACATTACCTGCCGTGATGTCATAGCTGACGATGTTGTCGGGTGACGCATCAGCGTCCGTTGCCGTGTACGTCGTGATAGCAGTTCCGGTTCCGGTATCCTCCGTCAGCGTTGTAGAAGGGTTTGATGAAAATGCTGGTGTATCCTCGTTTTCGTTTCCGACAGTGACAACTACAGTTGCTGTGACTGTATTTGAACTATCAGATGCTTTAACTAGTAATGTATATGACTGGGTCCCAGCGTCATAATCGAGTGCTGTTTTAAAAGACGGAGATCATAGTATCAATACGTCATAATGGAGGCCCGTTAGAGATGCACGATAACAATTGTAAGCACGATATTATCTAAATATACTACAGCATGATACGTGATTGAAGAAATTATATAAAAAGATTTATCATCTTTGACTTATATATTCATTTTTATCAATTTATATATATATATATATATTACCAAAGACAGACATTATTATTACAAAATTCTGTATAACATCGCATCTTGTCACGAATGAAATATATTCGAGTCTCACACCCGAATTAGGCAAATTATAAGCAAAAGGCGTCAAGTACGAATCGATTTCATTTTTCACACAAATGATTGCTGATTGGTATGACTGAGTTATTGTACGTTTTTCTACTTCACTTGATATAATCACAGGAGACAGATAAGAATTGCAGAGCACTTTCTAGTATAAAAATCTGTGTAATGTCATATACTCGCCATTCACAAGTGTGATATCTCCTGACGCCGATACAGCGAAGTCGCTACCAGTATTACCACTGACGAATGCATAGGACACCGTGTCAGAGGTGTCGCCATCGGTACAGGCAAATGTTGTGACCTAGAATTATAAAGATAAAAACATTTTAACTAGAATAAAATACATATATACATGAGCCTTTTTGTGTTTTAACAACACTGTCTGTATACTGTGTATCATAGATATTCGCGGAGCTCAAGTTTCGCGTTTTTTAAAACAACACGGACATTTGTTTTCGCGGATAAAAAGATTTCATAGAAATTCAAGGACACCCAAGTTATATGACAGATTTTGGTAATTCGTGGACAAGTGAATTCGTTGATAAAGAGTACCCACAAAATTAAGGAAAATAAAGCTTTCACGAAATTAAACAGTTTTGATGTATATCAGGTTCTTATAAATGGATTCCATCAGTAATGTCTTACCGTTACTCCAGTTGAAGAGGTTTCCGACACTGTAGGGGTATAGATGGAAGGACTGCACACAGGAGAGTTATCATTGATGTCTGTTACTGAAACTGTCACCGTCCCTGTTGCCTGTAAAGCAATCCTCAATGTTATAGCCAATATGGATTTTTGATAATACAATCATAGTTAAGCACGACACTTTCAACATGAAAAACTTTGAAATAGTTAATTGCAAATACATGCGTATATAATACCCGATAGAAATATAAAAACACTATATCAGTAATATAATACATAGTTTGAAATAAAGACATATTCGTTTCCCTTTCCAATATCCTACAAAGTATGTAAATTACCTTTATATCTACATCAGTAATTTTTGACTGAAAGGCTGGCTACGTGAAGATAAAGTGATTGACTGTTTATTTGGACTAAGAACAGTGCTATCAAAGCCAAGCGTAATTCAATCGTTCGATTATTTGATGCATCCCGATTGAGGAACTCTCTACCTAACTTCCCTCAAATTAGGAGACTGGTTCTCATTTGGCCTGTCACAAATACGTGTGTCTATTTCTAAAAAAAATGCCTAGATGGCTTATATTTCTTATCTTACCTGGTACATAATATTTGCATATTTTCGTTTTGTTTAACGAACTATGATCATACATGTACAAGCATTCTTTATGTTTAATATTGCAAATTTTTGCTGAATTTGGATAACTTCCCGGATATTTTTTCATATGTTTTGCCTTCATAATATATCTTCAGAGTTTCATATTCTTTGTGAAAGATAGATAATTAATCATCTTGAATATTTTAGTTGACATACTGAGTACTACCCTGACATACCTTATACTATTTATTTTAAGATAAATAAACATTTTGACGACGTGTTTCGTTTTTCTTTTGTACATCAATATATAAGAGGATGCATTTTTAGTAAATCGCTTAATCATTCTATCTGTACGAGTTATTTCCCTTACCACTAGACCGCCTCCATCAGTAGCAGTTATGGTTATTTCAAAAATCTGATATGTCTCGTAGTCTAACTGTTGTGTTAGAGTGATGCTCCCGGATGTGATATCGATTCCGAAGTACGAACTACCTGTGTTTGTCACTGGAACATATAATTAATTATCAATGAAATGTATTTATATTCACTGCAACATGTTATAATCTTTATTTTGCTTAATTGGTAACAAAAGGAAATAATTTATCAGTATTTTTGCTCCTTATTGTTAGTGCCTGAATGATTATCTATATAGCAAAACTTCTAATGAAGGGCTATTTCTTTGACGGTTGATTACTTGTCCAACGGAATTTGTTATTGTTCTGCGAATATTTCATAATAATGAATTATATTTCAACAATTCGTCACCTTGATTTTGCTGAACCCTCATGAGGAAGTTTTTTAAATCAAAATATCTCTAAATTTTGCTAAAAACGTAACCAATTCCATAATACATGATACAGGCCGCAGAATTGTTGTAATAGTGCAAAGAAGGAATGTTATCATAATCTTCAGCCGAAATATATTAGAATCTTCTCCTTAAACAAATTCCTTAAAAAGTATTTGATAATTGATCATCTTCTTCAACTTAGCGTTAAAACATGAAAAGATATCAAACGCTATGTTCGCAAATTTTATCAACATAGATCACATCCGAACCAAATCTTGCGATCACCGAATTTCACGTATATTGTCATCCTTTTATCAGACATGGGATACAATCATTCGCGAAAGGGATTGAAGTTGGAGAGTTGCTTGGCCTTTCCGTTGTTTTTTGTGATAGGTATCAACAGAAAATGTGGGTCATAATAGATTGTACAAAAGACACACTAGTGAATAGCACCTTTTGATAATTGAGAGTTAGATACAGTAGAACAAAACAATTGATTAAACTGCATCACTCAGCTGATTCGTCCTTCTTTGACTGATTACTGTGATAAACGACTTAGTCACCATGTCTTATTTGTTCAACTGTTGACGTTACTTATAATTGATTCTGAGATCGATGTCTTTTACCTGTTGTTATTGCGTATGAGACTATATCGTGTGGAGATACATCATCGTCTACTGCAGTGTATGTAGTCACAGCTGTTCCAACACTTGTACTCTCTGCGAGACTGACGGTAGGATTTGAAGTGAATGCGGGAGTGTTGTCGTTTTCGGCGGTGAGACTAACGTAAACAGTTACGGATGTAGATGTTTTCCCGTCACTGGCATCGATGGCGAGAGTGTAGGACTGACTACCGGTGTCATAGTTCAAAGCTGGAAAATGAAAGTAAATGAAATTTAGTGCAATCGACTTCTTATGATAGAAAATGTTAAGTGAGGTTTATATTTCATAATATATTTGAATATTATGGTACATACTACAAGCGGTGGACAATGCGCCAGCAGCTGTCACAGAGAAGCATCTATCGGAGTTACCGGACGTTATTGAGTACGTCACAGGGTCTCCATCGGCATCGGTGCAGGCTAGAGTGGTCACGGCTGTCTGTTCATCAAAAAAATTAACAATGGACATGTATAGCTCAATGTAATGAACACGGGCAGATAATGTATTTGTAAAAAATGTTGATTAATTATTTGTACTTGTATGATTACATTACATATTTGAAATCAATGTTAATGAATATATCCAAAAATAAATCCTGCAATTCTTCTAACGGTGAAGAGACAAGAAAGATCAGTATTTGTCGTCAATGTACAAACCCCGGATAAGCTTGTCTCCGGTATACTGTAAGTGTAGCTAGAGGATGGACAGGCTGGAGTGTTATCGTTCACGCCAGTGACGGTCACTGTGACTACAGACGTGGCACTATCTGATGGTGAACCGCCATCAGTCGCCTGTACAGTAAGAGAGTAGGATGTGGTCGTCTCATAGTCGAGGGCCAGTATAAGATATATCTCTCCGGTCGTAGTCCCCACACCGAACCGTGCCTCGGAGTTACCACCTATATCATGTATAAACATTTCATTTATAGTTAACATAACAAATATGTTCAACATTTCATTTTTTTTTATTTCAACAAATTTTATTGAAAAGATGTAAACGTCAAACTGGATTGAATAACAGGCAAAGCCTATGCAAATTCACTCCAAACAGGTAGTTAGAAATGAAAAATAACAAACATAAGGGAGGTAACTCTTTCAACAATAAAGGGAGGTAATTCATAGAATTTAACTTTCGTCCTACTTTCACTCATACACACATACATGAAGGTATACTAAATATATTGTACACAATTTTTTAAGGTATAACAGATAGAAATTAATACATTCATATATAAATATATATATAAGAAATATATTATTGACAGTTTGACCAAATGTCCATGTGCATGAAAATGCATGGTCACATCTGTCATCAATTGGTTGATTAAAAGGATTTATATATACTGTAATTATATATATATATACCAACTATTAACAAATTAATATTAACAGAATTATTCTTTTGTACAAGAAATATCAGTAAACATTATTTATCAGCAGCCAGGATCAATCAATATTTTACACAGTTGTCGTTAAAAGTAATTAATGATATATTAATATATATATTATAATATGTTGACTAAAGCATACACCTTGGCATTCTAAATTGTATAAAAGGTAAAATGACGCAATTTAACAATAAAAGTATGAACAGCCTCAAGTATCGATTTATTTGTAAGCTAATCACAAGCAGGACAGCCTTGAAGAAGACTATTTAAATCTGTATGATTATTATTACTGTAGTTGACGAGAGAATTAAACATAGAGATTCTTTGGTTGTCATACAAAGGGCATTCCAAAAAGTAATGAGACACCGATTCATTTGCAGCAGAGCAGGTACATGCAGGACTGTAAGTAAGGTGATCTCTGTATATATCATAATTTAGGTTACTACAGGAGTTACTTAACTGGCAAAGAATAATATTAGCCCTTCTGTTACCTTCAGTTTAAAATATTATAACAGATTTACTATCAGATTCTATATTTTTATTCAAGTTGTTTTTCAAAGCTGCAATTGAGGGAAAATTTAAGAGGTCAGTATTAGTGGTATTAATCGTGCGGCACATGTGAGGGAAGAAGCTTTCAAAGTAAATATTAGTTCTACAGAAAGGTGGGTTAAAAAGCCTTGTTTGTCTGAGAGGATAGGGGTTATTATCTTGATTGTTAATCAAGGGATCTAAACTTTCTTGTAAATATTGTGGTGTCTGTGCATGTATAATTTTGTATATCATTATATGTTTGTGTTTGTTTCTTCTTACCGTTAGTGTTTCCCAACCCAGTTCATTGTATAATTTTTCATGTGAAGTCCCAGATCTCAATCCAGTAATGATTCTTGCTGCTTCAAGTTGTATGGATTTAAGAGAATCTTTGTCGTACAATTATCCCAAATTACATCCGCATACTCTAAGAGTGGCCTGATAAATGCTACATACATTTTAATTAATGACTTCCTATTAATTTTTGTTTTCACAAGGGAAGTATGTTTAGTCTGTTGTAAGCTTTTATATATATATATATATATATATATATATATATATATATATATCTGAATGTGTTGTTTCCATTCGGCATTGTTTTGAAGTGTTAGTCCTAAGCGCTTGTGTGCTGAAGTGTCTGTGGTTTGATTATCTTGAAAGGATATTGGTCGGTGATTTGTGTCCTGTTTTCTAGAAAAGGTACCTGATGTGGTTTTGTTAGGATTGAATTTTATGTCCCGGATTGCTGCCCATTCACCAATGTTAGTTAGGTCGGTGTAAAGAGATTGTGCTGCCTGTGCTGGATTGTCATCCATTATTACATATAAGGAAGTGTCATCTGCAAAAAGTTTGACATTTGTAGAAACATTAGTAGTGATATCATTAATATAAAGAAGAAATAGCAGAGGTCCGAGTACAGATCCCTGGGGTTCCCCTGCTGTTACATTCTTAAACTGAAAAAAATAACCTTCCGTCTTTACTCTTTACATTCTGTCAGAAAGATAGTTTTCAAACCAATGAAGTAAATTTCCATGGATACCATATAATCCGAACTTATGTAAGTGAACTTCATGCCAAACTCTATCAAAAACTTTACTGACATCACAAAAAACAAATCTAAGCGCCTTTCCTTTATCCATATTACTAACAATTTCATTATAAATAAACAGTAGAATCACCAGGTATAAAGCCAGATTGATGCTTTGTAAGTATGCTATTTTCAGTCAAATAGTTAAAAAGATATTTATATATTATTTTTTTCATTGATTTATAGAAGCATGAAGTTATGGAGATTGGTCTGTAATTAAAAACATCATTAGATGAACCATTACCCTTATATATAGCATTTACATTTGATTGTTTCCAACTGTTTGGTATCAATCCTGATTCTAATGTTTTATTAAAAAGGAGCATAAGAGGTAACTTGGGAGAGGCATGAAGATTTTTTTTACAATTTTAGGAATAACACCTTCAGGGCCAGGAGGTTTATTAGTATTAAGAATATCTATTTGGTCACAGACATCTTGTTCAGTAACATGAACATTTGTATGTGAGTAGTGGGTATTGGGATGTGACGTCTAAGGTAAATCAAAGTTAGGTGATGAGGTAGAAATATTAGTAAAGTGATTGTTAAGAAGTTCAGCTTTGTCTGTGGGGTGATGAATTAACTGGTTGTTTGAGTAAAGAGGGGGAATTGCAGAAGATTTATTAGAGAAATTAGTAATAGATTTAGCAATCTTCCACCATTTATCTGGAGTAATATTATCATGAAGTGAATTTTCTATTTTTTTTTTTTTTTTTTTTTTACGCAGTTTGCTTTTGCCTCACGAATGAGGTCAGTAGTCTCATACCGTACAGTTCGAAATCTTTCCCAATAATGTTTAACATTAGGTATAGAAATAAATATTCAATAAAAACAGTTAATATGGCTGTTCATCAACCATACATTATTGAGCCGATTATGAACAAAATGTACTCCACTTGTATATTGATGGTCAGAAACAGTGATTTTCCATACACGAAAAGTTATAATATTGCTCTTTATTGCCACTGCTGAATACAGAAAACTTAAACCTGATATCGTCAGTTGCAGAATAAATTGGCATTCTCTCTGTTAAGACACATTATCATTAAGTTCATACCTATGATGCTGTATGTGAGCACTCCATCGTCGCCATCGTCAGCGTCTGACGCCTGTATAGTCGCTACTGTAGTACCTACAGCACTGTTCTCAGCAACCTAGTGTAAAAAAATCACGGAAGTGTTAAAAATCTTACAACACCATGACTTAGCTTCTCTGCCGTTGAAATTTGGGAGTATTTGAGACTTTTAACGGAGAATCTGATTTCTATATCATTTTGAGATTTGCTGCCTCATTTTAAAATGCAAAGATAACGTAACATTTTTAATATATAATATTTTGCGTATAACATACAACAGACCTGATCTGAGTTTTATAGTGACGCCTAGGTCAGGAACAGAGTAATAATTATTATGAACAACCTTTAATTATATTTAATCATAGAATATATCAATTAGAGAAAAGCTTTATTAACACTGCAGTAATGACGTAACATTTTCATTTGACCACAAAGCTATATAATTACACTGATATTCGCCGAGTGTCCTGTTCGGAGGCATATGAAGCGATAGTTGAATTAGTTTGTTTCCTTTCAAATAATTCCAGAGTGCATTACGAGCTTTCTCTAATTTGTTACTTTAAACGGTATTGGATTATTTCTACCAGAAAACAACATAAAGTGGTTGAATATCACGTTAAACGTCCTATCTGAAATGGCGTCGACTTGTTGTCAAATGTACTGTCAAACGCGCTAATATTTCACGAACTATTTCAAACAATCACTTTTTTATTATTATAATTTTTCCACCTAAAAATGTAATAAAATGAAAAAAAAATATGGTTTCCTGTTAAATATAATTTGTATATATATTTCACCTGTATATATTTCATTCGTAAACTGAAAGCATTTGAATATCTTCTACATACTTAAAAGTTAATAAAAGTTTAATGACATTAACAACCGTCAGAATTCATCACTTTATCTTTTCTTATCATTATCATACGAAAATCAAATGTACATACTTAAACACAGTTGATTTTTTTTAGATATAATGAAATATTTATCTGGAGTAGTATACAGTCAGGTGTGAAATCGTTGTTCGCCATTATTTTGAGAGGTCATCAAAATTGCTTAAAGGAAATTTGGCCTGAAAAGCTGATATTTCGTGTTGAATATCTTTACGACTTATATTGAATTTCTCTGATAGAGTAAACATTAACTTTACATTCGAATAAGAACACGTTTTGTTGAAATGGTACTGTTTAAGATACAATGTACTTTGACTTAATGGATAAAGAAACGCTTCATAACATGCCCATTGTAATTCAGTATCAGGAACATAGTCATGCAGTATCTCCAATAAATCATGTGTGAAAATATGAATATAATTAAACATCTTCACGTCGTCAATTTTAGTACAAGATAGTATATAACTTTCCTCCGAGAAAAAAGACATTCTTTTCATATCTGTTAAGGATATAGAGGGCGTTATTTGCTGTGCAATGTAAAATTGCACTATGTGTTTGTGACGTCATCCGTTTCCATCATCAAATTGGCTGTTTTTGTCACCTGTTTACAGCACATCAATATATTTCAATCGCAATTCAACACCATAACATATCGATTTTCGATATTGGTAAGGGTGTGGGCGGTACTTTTCCATGTTGAAGAGACTCTGTTGATGTTGGCACTTGCTTTAAATAAAGGAAAATTCTAAAACAGCTCAAAATGGAGCTTGTCTTCATGATAAATTTTAATGCAGAGATGTATGTTACCTAAACAGTGCTCTGTTTAAATTAAAAGTACTGAGGAACCCATAGAAAATCTCCATTTACCTAACGATATAAACCATCCCTTCTTTTGAAGATATAAAAGACAATCCTACCGATATTGACGAGGGCGTGGTCCCCGATATCACCGGAGTGTTGTCATTTGTCCCCGTTATTGTGACATAAACATAGGCAGTTCCGGTTAGAACTGACCCTGCAGTGGGTGTGTCCGTAGCTATCACAACGAGGCTATAGATATAGTTTTGTGAGGAGAGCGACTCGTAGTCGGTGGCTGTTCCTGTTGTTTGTAGAGTGGTACCGGAAATAGTAAACTTGGCTGAGGCATCGTCCCCACTCTGTATACTGAGTGCACAGTTTCCGTTAGTACCACTGTCAGCATCGGTACAAGTCAGGGCCGCAATAGATGTCGCTGTGGATAAGATAGTTCATCTATTTGAGAAAACATAAACAGATAAACTAGCACCGCTTGAAACACATCCTGCATTACATTATAATATACATGTAATAATAACGATTTTGTAGATTATATTAACAATAAACGTCTAATTTTGAACAAAAGATAAGATTATAATTAATTTAATATCAATAATGCGTTAAATGACTTTTTATGCAAAATATTACATTATCATTATTTTTGCATTTTACGGCTAAATATACATTAATAATGTATATAATTGGAAGTTTACTCACAAGTAAGCCAGTTCATGTGAGTGACAAATGATTTTGTCTGAACGTCCAGTGTTCAGCATGCCACAATAAAACTTTTAAAGTATTAATTGTTTAGGTACACTTTGTAATATACGAAATTTACCGCGCTAGTTTTCCACATAAAAATTACATACCGGAGGCGGATCCTTCCGGGATAGTTTTAGAATAGATGACGGGACTAAAGGTGGGTGTGTTATCGTTGTAGTCGATGATGGACACCGTCAGTGTAGGACTTGTAACAGGGGTAAAGACATCAGTCGCACTGAAAAATAATATCACTCATCGTTATCAAATAGTACAGGTATGAGCAAGTTGGCAGTAATGTACAAAAGAGACAAAGAGTAATTGTACCTTTTCATCTAAATTTAGAATTACATAGTGTATTGTCAAATAATCAATTAAACTGCATGAAATAGTTGTTTGGTCCTTCTAGGACTTGTCAGTGATGCTATGGGCTTAAGGTGTTGAATCCTGGATGGGGCAGTGCGCTAACCCCGTGATTCCAAAGATGTGATAAAGTTATACTCTACTCAATTCATTTTGAAATTTTTAATTATATGATTAATTAATTAATTCACCTTGACAAAAGTATTGATAAGTTTTATATATTGGTAGCTTTATTCAAATGCATGTAAGCAACCTAATATCACATAATATGACATTGTCAATAGACCGATTCATCTTGTTAAACCTCCCAAAAAGTTATAGTTAAATGTTATAAAACATTACATTGCAATATAAAAAACAATACAAACATACAACCAATATCAGAATGTCACATGATACTGATAGCATTGAAAAAATATTGGCTTTGTTGTCCCATGAAAATCGCAAAGCTTATGCCAGAAAATTGAAAAAATAGCATGGCTATTCCACGGAAAAGTTTTATCAAACATTGCAATGATCCTATCACGTTTCTAATCATAACAGTATAAGCTCTATCTAAAATCTCATGGATTAATAACCATAAAACTGCTTGCCAAAACACATCTTGCTTGACCATTCTAACGAATTTAACGAGAATGTTTGTCGTGCTTACCTGAACTGTAACGCGTATGACGTCGTTGTTTCGTAATCATACGCCGTATTGGTGTAGACTACGTCACCGATGACGCTGAAACCTGAACCGGTCGATATGGAGTAGGTGATACTGTCGCCATCCGCGTCAGTAGCCGTCAGCTGATAGACGGAGACAGCAGTGGCTGTGTTCTCACTGATGGAGATAGACGTCGAGGTGGAGGGCTTGGTCCAGATGGGATCAGCACCTGTTGAAGGACATACGTCATATTTTCTGATTCGATGTAATTACTGAGTTACGTGTCGAAAATTATTATGATTAAATGCAATAAACACGTCTGTTATTGACTTTGAAAGACGTTAATGTCAGTAGTGCTCTATGCAAAATGTGGGTAGGTATCTGCATTATTTGATTCATATCAACATAATCTCATACAGTCAACACCTATAAGAAACATGCTTCGCTCTCTATCACATATCAATTACTTTTTCACCAAACGGTAGGTTGTAAATCAACTCATTGGGCAACACTTAATCATTGCAACTTTGACAGCTGTATAAAAAAACATTTATACCACACGTGAGATAAACTACAAGCGTTTTGATTGGTTGACACTGCCAAGTAACGGACAAACTCCTCACACAGGGTTGCAGAAGATCAGGCAGATGAAAGTCATGGGAAGTTTGTTGGTCGCCATAGGGATCTCATTGAGAAATATTCGATTTCTTTGTGCGATATGACGCTGTATGTGTTTGATGCTCGTTTGTTTGCATGTTGGGTTCCGTTGTTTTATACTCTGTTCTCATTCGAGAACGTGACATTACATACTTGGATTGCCTAATGTTTTCATGACTATCCAGAAATGAGAAATTAACAAAAGGCAAATTGAAATCCTCAAGCTTATCATGCTTCTTGGTGGAAAGCTATGTTGGTTTTGTTGCAGGAAAAGATCGTGATAACCGATTTTGTAGAGGAGTTGGTCGTGTCTTTGTTTTCCGAGACTAATTGGTACAATGATATTGTAAGTAAGAAAAGACGTCATCAATTTATCTGAAAGTGAAATTAAACGACTTTGCAAGGTCTTTGTGACCTGTTTTGATAAGCTCTTTAATCAATTTAACCTCGTATGAAAAAATAAGCCTTTCAGCAGAGAGGGCCTACTTAATTACCATAGGTATGTCAGTAGTTAGTTTGAAAATCCTACCACCAAACTCGACGGAGATGTTGTCAACCAAAACCTAGATTATTTTTATGATTTCGTCATCTTTGATTTGGTCGTATTTTCTTATAAAATACGCTTCACGTTGGTTCACAACCATATATTAATACGGCCGTTCACCTTTTTGGAGAAGAAAGCTCTCTTGACAAGAGATAGTAGACGTTCTTTAAGTTTAGAATTGGGGGATGGTTGTGGAAGTGTGGAAAAATCAAATGGTTTTATAGACAAAATGTTTATTAGAAGAGTGTGTTGAAGATTTCTAAAAATCTCTCTGTAGTTCTTTAAAATCCACATACAATTGATTCCAATTCATGACAGTAAACTAATGACTAGTTGTCTACTGTATTAACCTGAAATTATGACTATTACTCGGTGTAGTGGATTTCAATATTTCTTGTACATTTCATATTATTATATTATGAATATATATTCATATCGAACACTTAGAGTTGTTTTCTCATATGTAAATATCAATGCCATATGAACACAACATTGGATGAGTTAAAAATCTATATACAGTATTAAACTCATACGGAATATGCGTTATGAAGTGTAATCGACAGGGATATGTTACAGGAACAACCAAAGATTAACGACACTTAAAAGTGACCATGTGTTCAAGGAGGGATAGCGGATTCTTTTTCATCAACGATATCCGCAAGTGAGAGCATGTTGATAACTACAGTATGAACAAATAGACAGGCATATGTACCAACACACGCCGAACCCTTCTTATCATATATCGTTCCAAGAAATAGTCTAATCATCAGCGATGACTGCTACACGAACGACGAATAAGTAGTATTTTTGGTGGAGAAAGGCCGTGGTTATATTAAAATATGCAACTAGTTGTCATAAACTATCGAGCATTGTTAAGATAAACATTTCAAAGTACAGGCTAGGCGTAATAACTTGATGGCGTCAAAGGGTTTTGCAGTACGACGTCTCCGATTTAAATATAAAACCTTTTGTAAGGAACAATCGAAAGAGAAAATCAACATTTTCTTTACATATTTACAAATCATAATAACAAATATGTAATTTTGGTAAGTCCTGGAGAGGCTAGCAAAATACAATCTTAAAATCTGAAGAAAAATGACTAAAATCACTTATATAAAGAAACTTCTAACTTAACATCCAAGAATATGCACGGGTTTTCTTCTATCAATTAATCGTGATAAATAAACTAAAAAAAAAAAGTAAAAAAAAAAGTAAGGAACATAATTGATATGATTTCCGGAAAAAGAGAAATGAAACAAATATGTCGTTCACACCTTTACTATGGAGTTCATGTTGCAAATTCTATGTGTACACGCTTTCACCAGATATATTGCAGTTTGAGAGATTATGATCTCCTGCGGTAATACAAAATCAAATACGACACACCTTGACAGCCCTTTACCATTTTGCACAGGACTGTAGTCTGACATTCAGGTACTTGTGAAACTACAGAGAGCTTGTAAAGCCGTTTTCATGTTGAGCAGTTCTTTGTTTGGTGAATGACAAGCACTTGAACGTTGTCTAGCTTTCAAGATATTTCGAGAAAAAAAATGGACTTTAAGTTTATGAATGATTACATGTGATTGTGGAATGCGAAGGATTATTGGGATACAGGTAACAGCAGTTGTACATGCAATGCTGTTGCTATGCTCTGTTAAAACAACAAATGTAACGACCGTCCTAAAATTAGCACTTCCAAAAGTAAACATGTCATTCCTTTGAACCCGTGTTGATGGGATTAAACACTTATCTTGAAATGAAATCCCCCACCCCATTTCATATAACTAGTGACGTCAATCACTATAATTGTCATAAATACATCCATTTTTTAACAATTTGTTGGTAATAAAATGTTTAACATATATGAATTAGTTCACCTTTTAATTGCTTTCATGAATAAAACGGATTGCTATCGAGAAATGATCGTATGATTCGACAATAAAAAAAATACTGTAAACGGTCATCAACTCACGCTTGGATGTCATTTCAAAGCTATCGTAACGAATAATTTTACTGTAATTAACTAGTTATGTATAATATAAACAGTTATAACGGAGGAGTGAAAGAAATCAATTTCATTTTAACTATAGTCAATACAGTTGTTAAAGACAACATAGTAAAATCTAAATAAATATACAACCCCACAACATGCTTACTAGCACGACTTTTACGGTGAAGTAAATCCCTAACCTAACATGTTGTAAAAAAAATTCTGTGTGAATTATATACGATAATAATTAGCAAAAAAATGCATATCCCAAGTTTTAAAATAATTATTGTCTTTTAAAAGTGTCTTTTTGTAAATTCTTTAGAATATAAGAAAAATAAATGATAATTCTCGGCTAGTTATAGAGTCGACTCCAACATATTTCACTGGGTTGATAAGTAATGGCACATCAACTATACATTTAACAGTAATTTTGAGTCAACACATGCCAGTAGAACTAATGCTGATATACGACTATTTCGCTGTTCCGTAATGATTATACTATTTCATATTTGATCAGGGAGAGCAATTACATTTTATAGTTACATAAGCGTGTATGATACCTTAGTTCAGACCAACCAGGTGATATTTTAATTAATCTATAAATAGTACTATAAATGTAATTGCACACAATCTTTATTTTTGAGATTGTCTTTGATATTTACCAAAGCATTTTTAAATGTGTTTTTATCTGGTGTAAGTTATATTCCCGACGTAGATAGCCTCCTAAAGTACGCGTCGTATTCTGTGCAATATCCTACTAAATATAAATATGGTTGTGAACCTCTGAACGATGTTATAAAAAGAGAAATAAACACGGTATTGGTGACAGTGGCTTGATTCGGTTTAATACATTTTCTTATGTATTTCAAATTCCGCGTATTGTTCCAGTTTCACCCATGGTAGCGTGTGGAAAAATTTTAGTATGAAGTTTGTTCAGTGTATCTATCAAATTGAACACCAAAGTCCACTTAAAAGTAAACCTGAGATAAGATGTTCTGTTCTAACGATAAGCTAGCCAGAGGGTCCTGTGCCTCGTCACTTTATGTATATAGTGATATCAATACAGCGGAGACATGTGTTAAAACCATTAACTATAAAATGATACAAGAGTTTTCTTTACAAAGAGTTTATGTTTATAGGTTGTCATTGCAGGAGTGTCTTACTTTCAATTGCATTTATTGTGATTTATTGTGAAACCTGTCACACATATAATGTATGTAGCGATAATGTATGAAGGCGGGAAAGACAATTGATCGTAACGTGTGTCTACGATTTACTTGTCGAAAACCATGCCATTTCTTTCTTTGTGATATTTTCCGTTCATAACACTAATTTTTTTGGAAAACATTTTGTATTCGATGTTTAGTTTCACATCTAAAGGCGATTTTAGATAAAGACAGTTCCGGAACATTAAGCTTACATTTGCGCCATTGAAAAGACAGCGTTTGTATTTTTACATTAAAGACAGTATGCCATGATCCACATAAATCGTACTGTAGTTGACCCTATAATCCTCACGCTAACTCTCGCAGTAGATGATCATTTCAAAACGATACAAACGAAGGTTTAGGGATAAGCATTAATCGTATCGTGTTAAGTGATCACTATCTATCCAATGGAAAACCAGTCATTTCTGTACATGGTTGCAAAAAACAAGAAAATCGTTATACAACTAAAAGCAGAAAGGGAAATAATGTTAGAAAAAAAAATAAAAATGGTCATCTATTTCAAATCATTTAAAAAGTTGTTTGAGAGTATGAAGGTTTCCAGACTGAC